AATAAGAACATATGCTAAAATTATTACTACTTCTGGATACAGATTCCTAATATACATTTTTGTTGATAAACTATATATGAACATATTAGAGAGGATATAAATAAATTTGATACCTCTGACTATCCAAAACAATCAATTTAAATTCTTAGTAATAAAAAAGTATTAGGTTTTGAATTGAAGGATGAAAAATAATTGGAAACATAATGTTGAATTTATTGGTTTGAAATCTAAAATGTATCATTTTTAAAACGTACACAATGTCAAATAAATTGTTAAAAAGGATAAGGGAATAACAAGTGCATCACGAGAGGAGCGAATTTACTTTTTGAAGATTTAAATGTCCTATTTAATAAATAGCAGTATGTCTTCAAAAACATTAATTCGGAGTAAAAACATGCAAGGTGTTATACAATAGACCAAAAAAAATTGCTCTAACTCCATACGACGATAAAAGAATTGTAAATTATGTTACAACAGATACGCTTCCCTGGGGTTATATAAACTGTTAGATTAATCCACTTACTTTATTTATTCTTTTTCTTTTATTAACCCCTTATGTGAAATTGAAACTAGAAAAACTAACAGTTCTAAAATATGTTAGAACAACACCTGCAGCATATGCTCCAGTTAAGGGTTCAGCTAGATCAGCTGGATTCGAATTAAAAAGTATAGATGACTGTATAATACCAGCAAGAGACAGAAATATAGTAAATACAGGTTTAAAAAATCAAGTACCTAAAGGGTGTTATGGTCGAATTGCACCCAGATCTTATCTGGCTATAAAACAATTCATCGATGTTGAGGTATTTTTATTTTAATTATAAAAATTTTTTTTTTCTTCATTAAATAAAGTAATTGTTTGTAGTACAAATTTTGGATGAAGATTATAGAGGAATAGTTAAAATTGTTTAATCATTCTGAGAACGATTTTATTGTAAAGAGAGGTGATCGCATTGCACAGCTGATTTGTGAGAGGATATTCTATCCTGAAGTGCAAGAAGTACAGGTATTTTAAATCATTTATATAAGTATTTAAATTTAATTATATATATTTTTCACGAGCATTTGTGATACAGAAAGAGGCGAAGGATCATTCGGATCTACATGGTATATATCCAAAGTATTCCACCTTTCTCATACAAGGTTGGAGATTTGATTAAGATATAGTCGAGGGGCTTTCCATCATTAAACGATTACTTCGGCGTCTAGAAGTAATAATATGTGTTTAAAGCGACGAGAGAGCGAACACAACGTACACACCCACCATTACGGCGTTACAAGCGAATGAGATTGCTTCTGTCACCAGATTATAATCACTAGATATAAGCACACACAAATAGAGGAATATTTTAGTATTTATTATTTACCTATAACAAAAAAAAAAAAAAAAAAAAAAAAAAAAAAAAAAAAAAAAAAAAGGTAAAATAAAAACACTTAGGAGGCAATTTATATAACTTACATTACATTGGAAAATGTAAATTAAAATAATATGTGTATTTATATATAATACAAATAATATTTTTTTTTTTTTTTTTTTTTTTTTTTATTTTTATATCTTTCTTAATAAAAATATTTCACTAAGGCTAGGCTTGTCTCGCACTATGAGTACAGCGAAAAACATCCTTATCGCAATATTTACTGATAAAACCCGACCCCAGTAACCCCTCGTACACAATAATAACTTATCACAATATCTGGTACGAGGATAACCTTTAACCTATCAAAGTTCTTCACCAAACTGCTCTGACGTCACACAATTTACATTTACCTGCCACATACCTAAACCACAACAATTAAGGCCCTCTTCAACAGCCTCTGGTAAATTTACAAAACCCACAAGGTTAAGCAAAGTAAAGAAAATACAGGGTGAAAATTTGGTAACCTTCTTGGCCATCCGACTGTCGCAGTCCCGTATTAGAATAACTAATGGGGGGTGTCACGCCCCAATTCATTTTCAAAATAGAAGGGCCTCATGAGACACTTAGTACACCTCTTCTTGTTATTATTAAAGACACGAAGGTGGAGCTGCGGGCTCCTAAGAGCGTATGCAGTCGGACCGCGCCTCGTTTTAGCAAAACTGAGCATCGGAATGTCGAGGTCATGAGGAAGAATATGAAGGTATTGAAATTTGAAAAGTTTATTTAAACATTTATGCAGAGTAAATGATAAGGATAATTCCTTCGACCAATTATGGCTAGTTTTTTGATCTTATCTATATTGTAGATCCTTACGTTTTGGTGTGGGTCATGTTTTCACTTCGCCACAAGGTTGAAACGATCAGGGCGTGCGGTAGTTGCTATTTGATACTGCTGGTTCTGGGGGTGAGCTTGTGTGTGCGTGTGAGTTTCTGGTCGCGGGTGTCAATATCGTGTATAGAACTTTTTTTAACGTTTAATAGGGTAGGGTGGAGTGACTCAGGCGTTTGTGTCTAATGAAAGTGGAAGATAATCCGAAACTCTGTATGGTTTAGAAAATAACGAATATGGCAATCGGTTTGCGCAAATATTCAATAAACGCCATCCTTGACAAAGGACACCTTTGAGGGAGGGCGGCAAAATTGTTCGCAGTTAGTAGCAAATTTCGCGAAACTGGTTCCGTTATGAATAAAGAGGCAGAGGGAAAGATTGTGCCGTGTGTAATATTGGAAGCTATTTGGAGGGTATTTCGTGAGTATTGGGACTGCATAATATTTTGCCGAATGGATTAGTTTGGTGAGCTGCTTGAGTGATCGAAAGAAAATTAGTCAATGAGACCGGCGTGAATCATACAACCGTCCAAAGGATATTAAAAAAACACAAGTTCCACCCCTACAAAATTCGATTATTTCCAGTTTTTCAGCAAGTGAGTACACCATAATTGTTAAAAAGTTTAACGATATTGAGAAGAACTTCAACGCACAAGTCACAGAACAGCTATCTAGCATCTACCGCACCTGATCTTCAACCGAGTCTTCAACCTTGTGGCAAGTGAAAAAATGCGTAAACACCTAGAAATAATAAGAAAAAACAGCAAATTGATCGAAGGAATTTATCCTTATCATTTACTCTGATAAATGTTTAAATAAACTTTTCAAATTTCAATCCTTTGTATTTTCTCAACGACTCGATCGAGTTTCAAAAACTAAGCGGGAAACTATAGAGAATAGAAAGCCCTTTACATTGCGGTACCACTTGACCCCCCTTCCCATTTGAAAAAAATTGGGGGATGACACCCCCGCTTAGAGGGTTGAAGATTCTGCAATTATTTTTGGGGCAAAATTTGTCCCCCTCACAAACAAAATTGACGTGTTTTTGGATTTTTTGAAAAAAAAATACCCTGGCCGTTATGCCTTGCAGAACGTTTTCGATGGGCCACCCTGTATTAGATTTGTTAACAAATATCTATCTTATAGTTTGAATTCATTTTTATGAATTTATTTTTATCTGTATTGTAAAATGTGTGAATGGAACCATTTGACACTACAATATTTTAACCCTTTTTTATATAATACCTCTCCTTTATTGATTATTTTCTTTGTTCCCAGAGGAGTTACGAACCAGTCGCCGACAATCAAATATAAGAAAGTAAGTTTTTATACTGATTTCTGAAATTCTGATTGTTTCTGATTGTTTAGTATCTACATTTCAAACAACTTACATAAAAATAATAAAATAATATGAATTCCAAATATATGAAAGCTCCAAATATATATGGAATATGAAAGTTCCAAATATTTATCAAATAGATGAAAAGCAAGAAATTTTAGACATGGTTAGACTAGCTGCACAAGGTAAAGCCAAGAAATAAGAAAGTTGGTGAAAATCTAAAATCTCTATATATATCTAAGTATATTCCAATTTTCCGCCAGGTTTAGTTCATTCCTGGCACAGAAAATGGCGCCACTTTAAATTCGAAACTAAAAAATACACGAGAGTGTGCGTTCTTCTTTAGTATGTTCTGTGGTCTGTGGGTATGTTTTAAGTGGTTGAACATTAAACGTCTATTTGCTGCATTTGACCGTAGAATGTAGATAGAATCTTTATAAAATTAAACAAGAGTGACAAACTTGACTTTTGCTCGCGTCTGTGCATATCGATGGTGGTAACACTGAAATTTTGCAAACCGGATGCTTGACATAAATCATATAAATAAAGAAATTGTTTTATTATGGATATAATATTATGGTTAATTTATGGAGATTTTATACCACTTGCATTTTCTATCTCTGAACTTAAATTTCTACATATGTCCACAATAAAAAGTGGTATCCAGGCAGAGTGGTATCCAGAGAGGCGATTCAAATAAGCTATATGAATGTAAAACTCAATTCTTTCAAGTTTCTGTAGCTCGGTCACTGTCCAGAAGTGAGGAAGTCATTTGGAATCGGCTCAGGTTGGGTCACTGCCATTTCTCCCATTCTTTCCTTTTAAAAGGCGACCCCCCGTCTAACTGCTCTCATTGTGGCAACCAATTAACAGTGTACCACCTCCTAATAGAATGTCCCTCCTTCAATTACTTAAGACAATCATTTGGTCTGAATGGCGATCTGGCTTCCGTTCTTGATGCTAATAACCTACATTCTTTGTTGCAATTTAGTAGGGCATCGGGTTTGGGTTCATTAATATAGTTTAATTTAACTTTAATTTGATCAATGCCGCTAAATGGCCCAGCAGCTGATGCGGCTTATATAAAATCCTTCCTCTTCTTCTTGTTCTGTTTTATTTTATTTATACTTTCCTATTAATTTTTTTAAATAGCAGTATAGATAAGAAAACTCCACTGAAATTTTATCCCTAAAAATTTCCACACAGATTTTCCCCCTAAATTTGGGGATAAAAACCCTAGGTTGGCAACACTGGTCAACTGAATAATTTGGCGAACGGTAAATCCTTTTGAACAATTCCGATTTACGGACACGGACACGGCCCGGAAAACGTTTGGCGTGTTCGGTTCGTTCGGGCTAAAATGCTCAAGTCTGGCCGCACCTTAATGTTTAATAATTGATTAATTTTCTCTGATAGGTAGGAATTAGCGGGTCGGGTAGACAATCTCTTACTCGCTTAGGAAGTGAGATATATGGTCATACATTATTTCAACCAGAAATAACTAATAATTATTCGTTAAATGATTGGAGAGATGATATTAAGAAGATTTTGAAAGAATGTGGGGGCAAGGGAAAACATAGCGTTTTCCTTATTAGTGAGGGCCAAATTAAAGAAGAAAGTTACCTACAAGACGTAGACTGTCTACTAAACTTGGGAGAAGTTCCAAATATTTATCAAATAGATGAAAAGCAAGAAATTTTAGATATGGTGAGACTAGCTGCACAAGGTAAAGCCAAGAAATAAGGAAGCTGGTGATAATCTCAGCAAAATTAATTTTAATTCAGTTGTAATATTTCTCCCGAACATAGGGAAAGTTAAATAGGTTAATCAACAATTAATTATTACATTCAATTAATTTCAATCAACAATTTTTTATTAGTAATTTAATTAACAACTTTCTATATATTATTAGAAAAAATTAGATGCCAATTAGATAAAAACAAAAACATTTTTTATGAAGAAAGAAACATGTTTACTTTTTACAATTTTTAAAATAAATTGATAATAACCCAGTTATTTAACTTTGAAAATTTAAAAAATAATGGCCACATTTTGAGAGCCGCCAAGAGCTACCGATTCGTATGGCCAATGAGCGGCGTGTTAATTGTTGTGGTCATAGTTGTAGCTGTCATTAATAGGGCATATAACAAATTTGTACCGGTGGTGGCGCAGCGGCGACTACCGGTATCTCTACCGTGAGGTTAACAAGGGCACGCTAGAGATACCGATCCTCGTCGGTACAAATTTGCGATATCTGCTCTATGACCGATCGATAACAACAAATAACACAGTTTGACTATACAGGGTGGCGCACGTCAGTCGCCTCGGTTGATTATACGAAAACGGAAGGATGTAGAAATAAAATATTTTATGGGTATATGGGAAGGTAATGTGCATAATTTAAAATTATTTATATAACACTTCATTTCACTACGATTCTTGACAGTACTACATTAAATACTCACGTGTATTTGGCACAAAATGCATTCATATACGATTTGAATAGTCCAAGAGCTGAGAGTAAAATGAACTGCCAGATAGGTTAGCAGAGCTTTGGTACTGGAATTGCAGTGGCGTAGCATTAAGGAGAAACTTTTCATAGCCCTCTTTGTTTCTGAGGTACATGGTTTTTTCAAAATTTTGCAATTTGCGACACCCTCCGCATCTCTGTATGTTACTGTATAAGGTATCGAGAAGGTGAAAATTGTTTCTGAATAGAGTGGCGTAGTCTGTTTTTGTACAAAAAAAAATATTTTTGAAAATATGAACTAAAGATGTTTTCCTAAATATATCCTAATAAGGTTTTCCTAAAGAGAACACCTTGTATATTTAAACATCAATTGATCTGGCTTGCTATGTGGTTCTCAAAAATATATCCTGCTCCTAGGTCCCTTCTCTATTGAGGTCAGCGATTAATATGGCATATGATTCTCTGTCCAGAGCTTGGTGAATTAGGGTGTTTCCGTCGGTGTGGGTCCAATCTTTTATGTTACGTAGCCATGATTTCTTTTTCATCCCTATGCTACATTTTCCATTGATTTTTCCTTGTATTATATTTCTTCATATTGTGCCGCATTATGTGTTCAATGTAGGAAGTCTTTTTGATGTTAATTGTGCCTGTTAGGTGTGCACGAGTTTTCATTCTGTTTAAAACTTCACAGTTTGTTGTTCTGGATGTCCAAGTTATCCTCAGCATCCGACGATACATCCACATTTTAAAAGCATTAAGGCGTTTGATGTCTTCTTGTTTTAGCGTCCATGTTTCGCATCGATATTGAAGCAGGGGCCATATATAACATTTTAATTTTCTGAGCCTCGTTGGTATAGCTATTTTCGGATGGCATAAGAACTTCAGCATGTTGAGGAAACCAACCCGAGCTATTTCAATCCATCTTCTGATTTCCTTAGAGTGGTCTAGCTGGCTGTTCAATTCCCTGCCCAAGTAAATATATCTCTGCGTGGTTTCGAGATCGACGCCGTTTATCATTATGTCGGTGTTTTCATTGTCTTGCGGATGTCGGTTGATAATCATAGTTTTTGTCTTGACGGTGTTAATCTCTAGACTCATCCTGATACTTTCTTCTGTCACTTTGTCTATTAGGGTTTGCAGCTGGTCTTCGGATTCTGCTAATACCATGGTGTCGTCTGCGTATCTTATATTGTTTATAATTTTTCCATTTATTTTTGCCCCTTCTGGACAATTTTGACGAAATTTTCGGATTATATACTCGGCATAAACGTTAAACAATAATGGTGACAATAATATGCATCCCTGTCTAACACCTCTGTGTATGTCTACAAAAATATATATCACTCTATATTTCTGCTGTTCAGCCTATATTTCTGCTGTTCAGCTGTAATTTAAAAATAAATGTAGTTTTTATTAAATTAGTTAAAAACCTAGATCCTTAATAAACCTATTTACTGCTTCGCTGTAAAATCAACAGGAAAGAAAATCCTTGTACAGTTCAAAATATGCGTGGGATTTGCAAAAATAGATGCAGTTTTTTTTAAATTATTTAAAAACGGCTTGCCCAAAATAGTTCAAATTTGGTATGTGTATTAAGCATACCCAAACCTTTAAAAAACCTATTTACGACTTTGCTATAAAATCAATAAGGGAGCCTATATTTGGACAGTTGAAAATTTGTATGTGATTTCTTGTTTCGTAGATGGACCACCCGGTGTACTAGGCCTATAGGAATTATTTATATGGTCTCATTTATGTCTGATATCGTTTTAAAGTAACAGCTAAACTAGAATTATCTTATTTAGGTGGCAATAGAAATTTAGAAATTAGTCCGCTTGAAGTTTTCTTCTTCTTCACGAAGCGATGTAAAGAGCGACTCCATATAATACTGTGTTTTAGTCCTGTAGGCTCTACGTTTAGGAAAAGACTACGTTTATATCCATCCTTAATAAACTGTTGTACAATCGATTGGTTTCAAGTGTGGCCAGAAGAAGCTTTAATTGAAGTTGCTGAGAATTGGATGGCCGATGTAAATTTATCATCTGAAATAAAGAAAGTTGCTGTGGTAAGTGATAAATGTGAATAATATCAAATATCATTCGATTGAAAAAAAAACGGCGTCAATGGCCCGTAATTTTTATTTTTCAATAGCGCTTACTGTCAGTTGGTCTTAACAATGCTGTAATTTATTTTTATTTTGCTAAATATTATTTTTAAATGGTGTAATTTAATAATTATTGGTGATTGACCTCGCCAAAATAGTCATCGATTATCATTCCCCAGCCGCCTTTGAGACCGTTCTTTCTTGATCATACGGTATTATACATGGTGTCCCAGAAATAAGGGCAAGTATTCTAAGGGCTGGTAGATCTCAATAAAAGAAACATACCTCTCTTATTATAGGTATTCTCTCTTTATCGTTTTTCAAAAAGTCCAAAATAATGGAGCTATTTTACTTTGAAAATTTCCAAAAAAAATATTTTTTTGCTAAAAATTTGAGAACCACTAGATCTTTTCTGAATTTTCTTTCTTGTAAATTTAATCTAATACCTATGTTGCCATATTATCAAGTAATTATGTTTTTTTAATTAAAAACTAAAACAAATTCCAAAACATATTTCAAAAAAATTCGAATTTTCAAAAAAAATTTTCGCGAAAAAAACCTCTTAGGCGTGTTTCTGGGATTGAACTATATACTACCAATTAAAATACTTGCATTTATTACTGGGACACCCTGTATATTATCAAGATACAAGGCATTTCTTTATTGCTTACATATTAGTTACTTCAATCATAAAATGTTTCAGATTCTTTTCTTTTCGATTTTTGAGGTATTTTTGATGCATATTGTACTGCTGAAAGTCAAAATGTCAGTGTTTATAAAATAAACTATGCAAATTAGTTGTTTTAATATCTAATATCTGATATCTGACATTTCATTTTTACAGAGCGTGTGCCAATATTTCCATGTGGAAGCGACAAAAAATTCAAAAGAGTTTTTTGAAAAACTAGGAAGAAAAACTTATATTACATCCGCTTCTTACTTGGAGTTAATTAGGTCATTTACAGAGCTAACAAATCGAAAACAAAATCAACTTATGGCCGCTAAGAATCGATACCTTGGAGGTCTGGAGAAGTTACACCACGCCGCGGTTAGTATCGGAGAAATGCAGACATCTTTAGCTGAATTGCAGCCGCAGTTAAAAGACATGAGCGATAAAGCAACAATTATGCTGAATCAAATTGAAAAGGAGACTCTAACTGTTGAAAAAATATCCGCGTTGGTAAGGCAAGACGAAAAAATTGCCAACAAACAAGCGGCTGCGGCACAAGCTTTGAAATTAGAATGCGAAGCCGATCTAGCGGAAGCTCTTCCAATTTTGAATGACGCTATAAGTGCGTTGGATACTTTGAAGCCGGCTGATATAACATTGGTGAAATCTATGAAAAATCCTCCTGATGCAATTAAACTTGTTATGGCAGCAGTATGTATAATTAAAGGTGTCAAACCTGATAGAGTACCTGATCCTTCAACAGGGAGAATGCTTTTAGATTTTTGGGCTCCTAGTAAACGGTAAGAATTGACTTGATTTTTTATTTAGTCATAATTTGAAAGAACTTTGTGAATACTCTGATCCTGATACATAAATATAGCTGACTTACATTGGCTTTATTTATACTGTATGATAAAAAAAACGGCGTCAAATACGGCTGGGAAATAGCAATCGATGATAATTTTGACAAGGTCAATCTCTAGACGTCATTTAGTAAAAATTGACATAAACATGTCAAAAATTCACTCTAATAGAAAACTTAAAATATGAGAGAACGTTTCCAGGCGAACAAACATTTTTATGTCTAATTTTCTTCTCGAATTTTAAACTACACCATTCAAATACCAGTTCTACCCAAGATGAAAATGAATTATAACCTTCTTAAGGTCAACTGACAGTAACGCCACTAAAATAATAAATAAGAGTACGAATCATGTAAATTACATCTAGGCTTGACCTGGCTAAAATTATAATCGATTGTCACTCCCCAGCTGTCTTTCACACCGTTTTTTTCCATCGTATAGTATTTCCGAATCATTCATCGTTATTAATTACAGTTGGGGGTTGGTATATTTGGTATTCTAACAGCAAAATTGCTTCCAACGTTGGTTTCAACGACGGAAGGTAAAATTTAACAGAACGTCAACGATTTTTATAGAATGTCTGTTTAAGAAAAACTAAAGTGTTCTAAAAGTAAAAGAACTCTAAGATCATCAATTAAGGGCAAAGAACAAGACGATAAAATGGACAAAATATTACATATTTTAACAAACTTAACAAGCGAAATTAAGGAATTAAGGGAAGAACAGAAAGAGTATAGGAAGCAAATAAGAAATCTTAGATATGAAAACGAAAAAATGAAACAGGAAAACAACGAATTGAAACTTAAGTGAAGGGAAATAGAAGAAAGAGTAGACAAATTAGAAAGGGAAACCAGGAGAAGAAATATTGTTATACGAGGAATAGAAATTAAAGCACAAGATGAAAATGAAAATAAAAAAATGGAAGAAACTTTCTTTTATAAAACATTACAATTAAGAATAGATATAAAAGGAACAAGAAAAATAATAGAGAAATATGTATGGTGGAACTTAAAAACGAAACAGATAAAAGGACTATAACGATGAACAAAGCCAAATTGAGAGGAGTAAATAAGGAAAGAGAAATACAAGCGAAGATAAGAAATAAAGCAAATGAGGAAAAGACTGCTGGAAAAAATAGTAAAAATAGGTTTCCAGAAATTAACAGTAGGTTAAGTTACGTGGATGTGGAATAAAAACAAAGGGTGCTTTCACATATTAGGCAAAACGAGAAAGCCACAAAAAAAACTGTGCTATAAAAGAACTGTGCCACAAAATGCATGTGAAAGTGGACGTTCAATGCAACGGAAGATTCGAGGCTAGAGATTTAGGAAGTGAAAGAGAAAAGGATTAGAATAGAGAAAAGGAGGAGGACTCCTCGCGGACCGAGTTTGGTTCCAATCGACCCATAATTAAGAAAAATCCTGATGAGTTTTTGAATCCATTTAGAGGCATCGGTTCGAAACGACGAGGGCGTCATCGTGTAACGTCCCCAACTATGCCAAAATCGACCCACTTTTTTCTTCAATATCAAGTCCTTAGTCCCACCCCGATGAAGATGCAAACGAAACGTCGTATACAACTTTGCAAGGTGGGACCGTCGCTCACATAGCCTACCCACCAAATTTGGTCGCGATCGGACGACATCACCTTTTGACGTTTTTTACGTCAAAACTAACTGTCACAGTGACACGTATCGTATACACGGTCAAGTTGGCCTTGGTCCAATCTATTGACATACCAAATTTCATTTAAATCGGACGATTTTTTCTGAGCCGTAGGCTGTCCTTACCATTTTTCCTCTGGCCTGTCGTGTCGCGTGTCATCTCGCGTGTCGTGTCACGGTCTTGAATGTTTTCTCCCAGCGCGGGTAAAGGAGTTTCACTTCAAAAAGGACTTAAACCATTTTTAAAGTATACGGTCCGTATATCGTTCATATAAGTAATTATTTACAAAATGAAAAAACTGTAAAGATATTTTGTTAATATACAGGGTGTCATTGAAATGGTGTAAAAAAAATCGGGGGGTGATAGTACAGTAAAACTTTCCATTTCGGCCACTCCTAAAAAGCGGTCACTTCTGTTAGCGGTCAATTTTCAGTTGTTTGAATTAATCTTAGGGGAATTCCTATATTAAAATATTTCTCAATAACGTTAATTCCGAAAGCGGTCACCGGCCGCTTCAAAGGTACATTTTAGGGAAAAACCCATTAAATTTATTGCCCCAATACCGGCCAAAAACCGAACCCTTCGAACCTTTTTTTTGTCTAACAAGAGCTGTTTCAGGACACTTTAGGAAATTCCAAGCAATAAACATTTATAATTTGTTTGAGAAGTAGGTACAGAGAGTGACAAATACAATACAAATTCGTCAGTAGTTTGCTGAAATTTTTGGGAGATATAGAATCAGTTTAGTTTCTTACTCTGAAAGAACAGCAACCATGTCTTTGAAACGTAAACGTTTGTCTATTAAAGAGAAATTAAATATTGTCGCGGAAAGTGAAAAATATAACAGCAGTGCTCGAAAGTTGGCGGAAAAGTTTGGTGTTGGAAGAACGCAAGTGAACGACATTTTAAAAAACAAAGTGGAATTAAAAAAAATGTTTGAAGAAGAAGGATGCAATGCAGATAAAAAACGAAAGTTTCCTAAAACAGAAGGATTTGCAATCGATCAACTAGTTTACGAATGGTTTTGTAAGGCAAGGAACAAAAACATACCCATATCGGGAACCTTAATTCGGGAAAAAGCTCTTGAGGTATCTACATCCTTGAAACTTAGTGAATTTAAGGCTTCAACTGGCTGGTTAAATAAGTTTTGCAAGAGACATAATATTAACTTCAAAACAATTTGTGGTGAGTCTGCAGATGTGGATGAAGTGACTGTTGAAGACTGGAAAACAAAATTAACAGCAATCATTAAGGAATACGACACTAAAGACATTTTTAATGCAGACGAAACAGGGCTTTATTATATGGCAATGCCAAACAAAACCTTTGCTTTAAAGAATGATAAATGTGCTGGCAAAAAATCAGCTAAACAACGAGTGACACTGCTTTTCTGTTGCAGCATGCATGGTGAGAAGGAAAATCCGCTAGTTATAGGTAAGAGCAAAAACCCGAGATGTTTTAAAGGAGCGCATGTAGATAAATTGCCGATAGAATGGGTATCCAACAAAAAAGCTTGGATGACGACAGATATAATGACATCTTGGCTCAAAACCTTTGACACCAAAATGAAACGGCAGGGTAGAAAAGTTCTTTTATTTTTGGATAATGCCACGTCTCACCCAAAAATAGAACTTGAAAATGTTCGTATAATTTTTTTTCCTCCAAATACGACATCTCATTGCCAGCCGTTGGACCAAGGAATTATTCAAAATTTTAAATTAAAATATCGTCAATTTTTTATTAAAAGACTTTTGACTTTTACTAATACCGAAGAAACGATGGAAAAGGCTAAAGAGAGCATAAATTTGGCAAGTACTATGGTGTGGATAAGTACAGCATGGAAAAATGTTACATCGAACACTATAAAAAAATGTTTCCAAAAAGCGGGATTTGCAACCGTCAAAGGGGACGATGCATTTGACGAAGAGGACGACATTCCTTTAAGTCGTTATCTTCAATTTTGAAAAACATGCCAAAATTAAAAATTTAAAGCAGACTACCATTAATCAGTTTTTCACCATATAAAATAAGGTTATCATTTTGTAACTTTTTAAAGTCAATTGTACATATGTATATAAGAATACCTATGTGTAAAATACATATGTATACATTGTAAGTTTTTTTTTCAAAAATTCTTATGTAATAAAGTTTTTTTTGGAACAACTGAATTATTTTTTTGTGCCAAAAATCTAAAACTGAAGATCATTTATTAACACTTATTGTGTGTTTGTACTACATGCTCGTACTTAATTTTAATTACTTTGCGCGTTTCCAAAATAAAGGCATTTTACATTGGTATCTGTATTTTATTGTTCCCAATAGTGGCCACTTTCCTTAACGGCCACGTTCCTTTGAAAATTTTTGTGGCCGCTATATGGAAGTTTTACTGTACTCCTAAAAATAGTAAAAAAAGTTCCTATAAGTATAAGGTGGAAAATGCATATTAAAAGAGTTAAGGGCACTGAAAGGGTGAATTTAAAAAACGGTTGTTTTGAAATTGTAGGCTTAAAAAACGAGATAAAATTTCGAAAAAAAATCCCCTGCCATAAATTTTGATCCTAAATCAAATGATGATACTAAAAAATTATTTGGAAAAGCGGAAAGGGTAGTTTTTGCAAGGGTAGGGGATTGTTTCGCGAATAACTTTTTTGAGGTTATTTTTTTTGCAACGTGGGTTCATTTTTTGAAAACTACATACTTTTTCCTACAAAAAAGGTATTCTTGTTTCACATCGCCCAGAGCGATGGTTTTCGAGAAAATTGAAGGCAATGAGTTTGCTCTGATGGGTTGCTAACTGGTTAATCAACATAAACTTATGAAAGTTATGGAGGTTCAAAAGTAACCAAGTAGTTATTAAATAATTAATTGGAAAATTATAAATTTCATGATATTTAAAACATCTTATCGCTTTAAAAACGAAATAAACTTTTTTGGTTTTAAAAAAAATTTTGGTTTACTTTGTGCCGATTAATACTGAAGAGCACCTGCGGCAACGCATTATTGACTGGTCCAATCAAATTCGGACAACACCAAGGATATTCCGCAGGGTACGCAGATCGTGAAGAAGAAGATCAGATGTCTGCATTGAAATGAATGATGGTCACTTTGAACATTTACTATGAATGAATTAAGGAATGCATTATTTTAATAAGGAATTTTGGTAATTGGATTATCTCGTTTTTTAAAGCAATAAGATGTCTTTTTTGTAAGAAAAAGTATGTAGTTTTCAAAAAATGAACCCACGTTGCAAAAAAAATAACGTCAAAAAAGTTATTCACGAAACAACCCCCCACCCTTGCAAAAACTACCCTTTCCGCTTTTACAAATAATTTTTCAGGATCACCATTTGATTTAGGGTCAACATTTATGACAGAGGTTTTTTTTTCGAAATTTTATCTCGTTTCTTAAGCCTACAATTTCAAAACAACCGTTTTTTAAATTCACCTTTTCAGTGCCCCTAACTCCCTTAATATGCATTTTCCGCCCTATACTTATAGGAACTTTTTTTACTATTTGTAGGAGTACTATCACCCCCCGATTTTTTTTACACCATTGCAATGACACCCTGTATGTGTCTGTGACACCCTTGTGACACCAAAGATTCCAACCCCTAAGTTTAATTATAACATTTTGGATTTTTTTGTGAGAAAAGTGAATTTCAAATATTTGAAATTTAGATAACAAAATATTTTAGCGTTTTAGGTGACATGAACTTTTTGCAAGCGCTAAAAGACTTCGACAAGGATAATATAAAACCTGAAATTATGGCTAAACTAAGGAAGGAATATATTCCGCATAAAGATTTTAAACCTCATATAGTTGCTAAAGCTAGTAGCGCTGCAGAAGGGTTATGCAAGTGGATAATAGGTAATCTCATCGTTATAGGGAAATACATTTTAATAGTAAAGGTTAAATATTGTCAATCTTTTTTAGCAATGGACATGTACGATAAGGTGTACAAAATTGTAGCGCCGAAGAAGGCAAAACTGCAAGCAGCAGAAAAAGAATTTGCAGAAATGATGGAGAAATTGACAGAGAAAAGGAATGAGGTGCAGCGCTTAGAAAAACAGTTGGCCGAACTAAACGAAAAATTAGATGTAGCCGTAAAAAAACAAAGAGAGTTACAAGATAGTGTTGACTTGTGTAACAATAAATTACTTAGAGCTCAAAAATTGATAGGAGGTTTAGGTAAATGAAAATAAAATATGATTTATATGAAAAAGTGCAATCTTGCCATCGTGGTTGTTATATGTCCCGTGGTTATTATATATAGATGGTTGGCATATATCCCATCGCTAAGCTCCTTCTTGTAATGTTTAATAGATGGTATGAAGCTATTTCCTGACGCTTCTTTAGAAGGGCAGAAAAAATCCCATATATTCCTGCTGTTTTATAAAGCTGAAAAGTGCCCATTTCAGTTTTTGTTCTGTTATTACTAGCTTGATCATCTCCCAGTCTTCCCTGCGAGGATTGTGGGGTTCGGTCGAAGCTACTTGCGTATTAATAGATATGCTACCTGGAAAGTGTGTATGAAGTAGGAGGTTAGCTCTCTCTTCATCTCCTTCCGTGTAGCTTCCGTCAGGTTTCTTAAGTGCCATGTTGGGGATGGGCCCACTCTTGGCCATGTTTTGTGTAGTCTGGCTGCATAAGTAGTTGAAGTGATGTTTTCGCAAAAGGATCTAAAACCAGACCGCTTTTATTCTTTTAATCTCCTTATTATACTCAGTTAATTTCTCGGTGTAGAGCTGCCATTCGCCGCTGGGTTTGGCTCTGGAAGAGTCGTCGGACCTCCGATCTAAGATTGGCCAGGTTCTTGTTCCACCAGGGCTTGTTGTTACTTTTTTGTACGCCCTTACTTGTGGGACAACTAGATTCATATGCATCCAATATTGTACCCCACTGACTTCCCTTGCGTGCCATTTTTTTTATAGATGGGAAACGCCATTTACAGCCAGAGTGTGGGGGTCACCTCTCACCCGAATCATACCCACTAAAAACCCATCTGTAGAGTTACCTCTCCAATCTCGGAACCGCCTTGCGGCATTACTTCAAGACTGGAGATTGTTTCGCCACTTATGTCTGTGTCTGCCAAATTTTTATCTTTTCATCTTCCTGTTTTTTAAGCATGATGACTCTCATCATCCTGGTGATTGCTTCACAGTTCTCTCTATTTTCCATCATAAGCTCGCCTACATTTTCCCTTGTTATTTTAACCTTGCATATTTGTTCCGCCGATGCTCTAGTCTCCAAATGCCTACTACACTCGAATAATGTGTGATTGGCCGTGTCTGATGCTTCACAATACCAGCATTTTGTGGATTCAGCCTTAGTTATTTTAAACAGGTACTCACCAAAAGCACCGTGCCCTGTCATCGCCTGGGTGATGTAATAGTCCGTTTTCGTCCACGTGTTGTTTATCCAAACCCTCACGTCCGGGATAAATATCTTAATTCGACCCTGGTATGCCTCCCATCGGTTCTGCCATTTGTCCAGTATTATCTTCCTGGCCTCTGATCGATACCCTGAGCCGTGCCTGTGTATTAAATTTCTTTCCTCGATTTGTAGGATAATTGGGGGGATTTTTGCTAGAGCGAGAACAGCTTCTGTGGAAACTGTACGATACGCCGACACTACGCGTAGGGCTAGCATTCTGTTAATTTTCTCGAGGACTTTTTCATAGTATTTATAATCTGTTGCCCTGCTCCAAATGGGCGAGGCGTACAGGATCATCGAATGCACAACCGAGGTAAGCATTCTCCTCTTTCCGTCACTGGGGCCTCTAATATTGGGAGTGATTCTGGTCAGCTGTTTGATGGTATCAACCGTCCTGTCCCTGATTTTAAGGACATGTGTAGTCATGCGCATCCCGGAATCAAGCCAAACGCCCATATATTTTATTGCCTTTTGAGGTCTGATGTGGCAATTTCCCAATTGGATATTTAAGTTCGTCGTCTTGCGATGTCCTACGAGAACGACTAGTTCTGATTTTTCTGGCGCCAGATGTATGTCCATTCTATCCAACTTATTGGTTATAGTTAGGGCAGCTGTTTGAATCTTTTCTTCGAAGATAGTGATGGTCGGAGCGGTGATCAGGACAGCCAGATCATCCGCATAAGCAATCAGTAGATTACCTGGTCCAATATCGACCCTCAGGATCTGGTCGTAGAAGATGTTCCACAAGGTCGGTCCTAGAATGGACCCCTGCGGTACCCCGCACGTCATCTTGTGTTTTTTGCCGTTTTCTGCAATTACATATCTTTTTGACAAGAAAGACTTAATCATAACGATGAGGTATTTACTGATCTTCATGCTCCCTAATTGTTCAACAATTCCTGTCCATGGGGCAGAATTGAATGCGTTTTTAATGTCTAATGTAAGCAGTGACGCGTATCCCCTGTTCTTATACGATTTCGTTTTAATACGGTCTGCGTTACTCGTAACAATGTTTAACGCGTCTATCGTAGATTTGCCTCTGCGGAACCCGTATTGGTTTGGGTGTAGTCTGTTTCCATCCTCCAGTTCTTTCTCCAGTCTATCCCTCAGAAGACATTCTAACAGTTTGGCGCTTGCATTAATTAAACATATTGGACGATATTTTTTGTCTTGACTTCCATCTTTATTGGGTTTCTCTGCTAGAACAAGTTTGGCAATTTTCCACGAATTTGGAAACTGTCTCTTGATAAGACACTTGTTCAGGATCTCAGTGATTCTCTGAGGGTCTTGCATAGCAGCAATTTTGATAACTTCCACCGGTATGTAGTCCGGGCCAGGAGCTTTTGTGTTTTTCAGTTTACTTGCTGCAGAACGCACCTCTTCTTCAGTAAACCATATTACTATATTATCATATATATATATATATATATATATATTATCATCCGGTATTTTTTTGGTATATCCCAACTATTTGACTGAGCTTTAGGGAACAATGTTGTGATCTGTTTTTCTATTATGTTATCTGTAACGGGAGCGTTGCGTCGCCCGATAAACTTTCTCATTATCAGTTGGTAAGCCTTGCCCCAAACATCGGACTCAAGCTCATCACAGAGCTCTAGCCAATTCCTTTTCTTACTCCTAAGGATTTCTTTTTTAAGACTGTGCTTGGCTATGCTGTAGTTGGTACGCGCCTGTTCCACGGTCTCGGGGTCCATCTCGCGTTCTCTTGCTCTCGTTAATACCCGTCTCTCGTTAATACAAATCTTCCTTTTTTCAGCAATCTTATTATTCCACCAGTACATTTGTTTTTTATCCGTTATTCTTTTCCTGGGGAGAAAGGAATTACACAACTTTCTGAGACATTTGCCTAGCCCTTCTGGGGATGGCGTTTTCATTTTCAGTCCATTCTCCTCACAATAGGTACTTATCTTTTGTAAGCCATTTATTGTTGTCCTCCATCCGTTTATCTTTGTGACCACGTTGTCCTTCATCTGAGTATCAATCTGTATGTCAAATCTGATGTAACGATGTAGGCTTAGACTTTCCTCCTCAGTTATCACACGCCAGTTTCTCACGAGTCTACTGATTCCCGGAGTTGCGAGGGTAATATCTATTATTGATTCGCCGTTTGCGTTTTTAAAAGTGGGCGTATTACCCTGGTTCACAACTACAAGATCATTGCACACGATCCACTCTTCGATAATCCTGCCTTTTGCATTTTGGATCCCAGAGCCGCAAATCCTTGTTTTTGCATTAAAGTCTCCCCCAATTATGGCTTCCTTCTTCCTCGAGCGTATCACAGCATTTATCTCATACAATAAATCATTCAAGAGATCGCTGGGTTTACTTGGTGAAAAATAACACGAAAACACTAACATATTTGTATATTCAACACACACAAAGCCTGTACCTGACACGTAATCTACAATATTAATCCCTTGCGTACCATTCCAGATACAGGTGGTTCCTAGCCCTACCTGCATATATTTGGTCCAGGTTGTTTACGAGATTGGTGTGGTATAGTTCCCAAACGGTTTTTCTTGGATTCCTTCGAATTTCAGTTTGGAGTATGATTCTTAATTTGAACTCGATGATTCTGTGATCTGATAGGGAAGGTTCCGTTGAGACCCTCCAATCTCTCACGTAACTATAGTTACTCCCGATTATTAAATCTAATACTTCCGCCTGCGTTTTTGTCACAAACGTGGGTGTCTTCGCTATATTGAGAACTTTAAAGGTATCCGTAAATTCGCAAAAAGAAACCAATTCGACTATTCGTAATTATGAGTAATTTTCTTTTGTTTACGACACCTCCTTTCTTTTTTTTTGTTTACGAAAATCCCCAAAGAAGCGGTAAAACCACTCACTAATAGTTGTTTTTTATTAAAATGTGATTAAACAAATTCTTCAAATTTTCGGAGTTGTTTAAAGAGACTTTAAAAAGAACTGTTAAAAAAATGTTGATAATAAGCTATTATTAGTAAAAATATGAATAAGTTTGTAAAAATCCGAAAATTTTTAGACTAAGGAATGTTTGCCCGTTTTTTTTATTATCACAAAATATGACGTCCCATACTCGAGACACTTCTCTGCGTCTACAACGGCTTTTACAATGGTTCTTTACATACTAGACCATACATACTTTGCGTATAAGCCATTGGCAGAATGTTGTATGGTAAGGAAGGTACATGTTTTAAATTGTTAGACTTTGTAAAAAGGATACTATTGGAGAATGTAATTGTAGATCAGAGGACCATAATAAACCTGAAGAGAACATAGTCTAATCTATGGTTCCCAAGAAACAAAAACCATCCTTTTTTTAGAAACCTACTCATATAATATGAGGTTAAAAAACAATGGGTGTCCTATTTAAGATGACAAATAATGATTTACATTGACCAGTATAAAGAGATAACAAATAAAATAATTTTTAAAAAAATACAACTGTTTTTATGCACATATTTTAATTAGATATAGCTCCGTTTCTACTGACTCATTTAAAAGACATCTCGTTTATATTGGTTCCAGGTGGCGAAAAATCAAGATGGACAGCGTGTGCCGATGCACTTCAAGTTCAATATGATGGATTAGCTGGAGACATTTTAATATCTTGTGGAATTATTTCATACCTGTCTCCATTTAACAGTATATTTAGACAAAGAACAGTTACTGACTGGCACAGATATGTCAAACAACTTAAAATTCCTTGCGCAGAAACATATGAAATGGTTACAGTCTTGGGATCTGATGTGCGAATTCAACAGTGGTACATAAATGGTTTACCCAGAGATAGCTTTTCTACAGAAAATGGTATTTAACATGAAAAACTCAGTAAATAGCGAGACCTATCTTATTTTGACTTTTATCAAAAATTCAGTATACCGGGTGCGTCATAAAAGTGGCTACCCCCTATACCTTTTTTATTTTTTCAGATAAAAAAACCGAGATTTGCTATGTTATTATATGACATAAATTAGGATTGATTGACGTATTCAATTGTTTTCGGTCACTTCCTGTTTCACCGGAAATGACTACAACTTTTGATTTTTAAATGGCACGCTCGGTATCTGTTTACTTTATTCGATAGAAAATGACACTCTGAACCGAATGAGATGTCATATGTCAACTTTTGACATATTCGCTCAAAAACAAATTTTATTTTAAATTTCAATCTAGAGTGCCATGGCGGTGTTAAAAACATTAATTTTTAATCAAGAAGCCTTTGAAACATAGATTTGATGGTCTCATGTTTTTAGTGTCTTGTCCTGACGGGTTAAAACATGCCCAAATTGTATTTTTAATCATATCTCATTTTTTTTTCAAATGGAACGAGGGTGGACATACATATTTGGAAAACGAAATTTTTTTAGGAATAATTTCATACCACACACAGTTGGTATTTCGAGTCAAATTATCGTTATGAACCGCATGTTATAATTTAAAATAAACCATATGCGAAAATGTCAAAAGTTGACATATGATATGTCTTCTATTCAGAGTGTCATTTTCTATCGAATAAAGTAAAAAAATACTGAGGGTGCCATTTAAAAGTGAGATTGAGTTTCAGGTAATTTCCGGTGAGACCCGAAGTGACCTGAAACAATTAAATATGTCAATCAATCCTAATTTATGTCATATACTATCATACCGAATCCCGTTGTTTTATCTGAGAAACTAAAAAAAGTTATAGGGGTGAGCCACTTTTGTGACGCACCCGGTATACAGGGTTCGGCAATAATAGTGCGTCGGGCATCTATAGCTCTTAAAATAAAAAACTTGAGAACTTTCATTAAGTGCAAACCTAAAGTATGCACGAAAATGTATTTCAAAAAAATATTTTAACTTCTATAGGGTGGCTCAAAAAAGTGAGAGTAGCTTAGAATTATTTTTTTTAATAGAACACCCTGTATATTATTGCATTTTTGGCTTCCCTTCAGATCACTTTACATATCCTTAAGATATGAGTAAATATATTTCGCTAATTTCAGATATATTAATAAATAAATAAAATGTATATATTTTTCAACTTTCCTAAAAAAAATAATTATTACAAATACAAGAACATGTCCTGAAATCAAAACTATATTAGGTATTTACTTTAGATAGTCTATACTTATTTTGCTAAAATTATCGTAATCTTTAATCATACAGGGTGTTTTCTACGCCAAACTTTCTAAAATATAAAATAATTTTTCTTTGTTTATTGATTTTATTAATACCTGTATATGATTTTTTTATTAGGTGAATAGTTAAAAAATGAACTTTTTTTGTATTTAAAGTATTTCAAAATTTTTAATGGTTTTGCAGATACGCGCATTATTATTTCATATGGCTCTTTCAACAGTAAAATTCGAGAGAAAAATGATTGGGTGGCTTTGATAAAAAATTACTATAAAAAATGACATATGAAATATAAAACCGCAAATATCTCCGAAATCCTTAATAAATTTTGTTTAAGAGCAAACCTAAAGTATGTACGAGGATGGATTTCAGGAAAATATTTTGACTTCTATAGGGTGGGTCAAAAAAGAGCGAGTGTATCGGGACTACAGTGGATCGGGCCGATTATTTTTAATAAAATAAAAATAGTTTAGGTATCTCATGGGCTCTCGGCAAGCTGTACCTTACTACCCCCAAGGCGTTAAATGCTATATCTTCTTCTTCTCGTCCGAAACTCTCGAAAAAGTATGGTGCCATCCTGTCTTAATTGCGCGCATCCCTCTCTATCTTGAGCGGCTAGAGAAGCAGACCGTGACCAATAATTTCTTTGGTTTGGTCCACCCAGCGCGTCGGAGACCTTCTTCTTGGTCGTTTGCCATTAATCTTTCCTTCGATTATTATTTTTCCAGGCCATCTGTTCTTCTTAGAAATGTGCCCAAAGTATGACTGGTTTATTTTGGTTGAAAATCTTCAGGTAACTTTCAACTGCCTTAGAATTGAGACGTTAGTCCCATGTTCTGTGTACGAAATTCGCAGCATTCTTCTGTATTCTTAGCATCTAATTTTCATCTGTTTGTAGTTGTCAGAGTTTAATCTCAGATGCATAAGTAGCGTTAGGAAAGATTAATATGTTTACCAACTTTTTTTTGTGCTCTAGTAGTTGTTTTGTCTTTTTGCTATCTACCACTGGCCATAGCCTTCGAGCTGTAGCGCAGTCCTCACGGTGTTGCCACGTCTCTTGCTGTTTGTTGATCGTCACAAGTGGTGGGTCATCTGCCACGGCTTCTCCCCTGGCCCCGTCTTGGGCGAGTCTGTTTGCTTCCTGATTGCCCACCACATTGCTGTGGCTTGGCACCCAGCACAGAGTAGCCCCTCCCTAACGCAGCCAGAACAGTGCTTTTCGGCATTCCATCACAGTTTTTGATCTCACTGATAGCATGGTGATGCCTTAGAGTAAGACAATAGAGAGCGCGAGCCGATCCATTGTTTGGCTCCTTCGATGAGATACGCTCTAATGGTCTTGCGGGACAAATGTGCCATATCATGCAGTTTATCGTTATAACAGGGAATATTCATTATACATACTTATCTTTAAGTTATTTAATAAAATATAATTTATTGATGCTACGTTTAAAAATTATTTTATGGTATATAATAAGCATTTACTAAGTGATTAAAGCAAGTAAAACAACAGTTCTCTTAAATAAAAATCTCTTGAGTGATCATTACTCGGTTGCTTAACTACTAGAGCACAAAAAGGACCTATTACGCATAATTGTAGGTGTCATCACTGGAAACTGTCCCACGGGGGTAAACCTCGTGAGATGGAAGGTTTCCAACGACGACTACTGCAGAGAATGCGGAGAGGAAGAAGAAACCATAGAGCACCTGCTGTGCCACTGTCCGGCACTGGAATACCGACGCTTTAAAACTTTAGGGCAAGGTTTTTTGGAAGGGCTAGAGGAAGCAGCAGAAGCTAACATCAGCGACATCGGGAACTTTGCAAAGAGCTGGAAGTGCTTTAACGCAAAGAAAGAATGAGAAGAAGGTTTGGTACAACAATAACAGGGGTATCGCAATGGGCCCAAGGCCTCCGAGTGAGGGATCAAACACGATCCCAAACCCCAGCAACCTAACCTTACCAACTTTAATTTGTTGCGCTGGGATATTGCAGTCTTTCCAAATTCCTGTCATTTTTATTGTCGTGTCATTGTATTGGAAATATATTATCAATGCATGGGAGCGGCCTGCCCTGAACCCGGCTTGTTCTTCAATCTCATGGGGGCTAAATTCATCTTCTATTAGGTTTTTAAGTATTTTATTACAGTTGGGGGATGGAACCTTTGGTGTTACACAGCAAAATAAAACACTAAATCACCACAATACACCAAAACACTTTTACTGATTATAAACTGATAGTTTATAATAATCTGCTGATGATGCTAACATGGTTAGCGAAACGCGCGTCCAGTGTAGAAGTAAAAGTGTTTTGGTGTATTGTGGTGATTTAGTGCTTTATTTTGCTATTTAAGTATTTTTCCGTACTATCTGCTAAGAGTGACAGACACAGCTGTATTTAGTGCAAATATCTTTCCTTCCTTTTTGTGGATCGGAGACCATGACGTTTTCCATGACACAGGTATGGGCTCCCCGTGAAAATACAAGCAAGAATGTCTTTCAAAATTTTCGGTCCGCATTTCAGAAGTTCAGCTAGTATTCGCTCAGGACCACTAGACTTTCTGTTTTTCATTTCAATTAAAGTATTTTCTGCCATATCTACACTCACCGTCATATATGCTCCTCGACTTCTATATTATGCTGTTGACATGATTTCATATAAAGGGCGACTTCCTTTCAATTCCTTTTTATAATGTTCTTGGAATTTCTTTAGGCTGGTAGAAGATATATTTACTTTAGGTGATTTATCCGATCTAAGGTTATTTATAAAATTTCAAGCTTCATCTGACCTTGAGCCTCTTTGAACTGAGTTAATTTCAGCACATTTTCTCTCCCACGTTTCATTTTTTTCTTTGTTTAAATAATTTATTCAAAGTAGCGAGCTCTTTTTTGTATTCTGTCCTGTTTTCAGGTGATTTTGTACATTATCCATTATTCAACAACCAAACCAAACCAAACCACCCTGTATACAGGGTGGTCCGAATTGTATACAGGGTGGTCCGAATTGTATTCCGGAAACTTCGGCGGCATATTAGGGAAATAAAAATAAGCAAAAAAGTTCGTATAAATGTCCTAAAATGCTTAGTTTCGGAGATACAGAGTGTAAAAGTTTCATTTTTATTTCGATTTTTTCCAAATAATTTCTGAAGTAACGTCAATATTTGGATAAAAATTGGTGTCTGGGAGTTTTTTGATACGAGAAATTTGATTTTGATGTCAATATGACTCCTAATAGTAGGGGGCGCCACCTACATGTATTTTACCTGTATGTACCTGTATAAAACTGCTTAATGAAAAAATATACATTTCCGTGACTTTTTACGTAAAAAATATCTCTTGGTAAAAATACGAGCAAGCGTTCTCAAGATATTTAGATTGGAAATAGTCAATACATGTCATTATTGACAAAACATAAACACGTTGAGTAGATAGAGTTATTTAACTGAAATAATAAATTTGGGAAATTTTTATTTTTTAAATTAGTCATAATTTTTCTGCGAAAAATGATGATAAAACAGTTTCTGTTGAACATTTGACACAAAAACATTTCAAATTTATGATTTCAGTCTAAGAACTATTTAGTCAACATGTTTAAGTATTGATAATTTTGAATCCAAATATCTCGAGAACCGTTACTTGTAGCGATTTTTACCAAGAGATCTTTTTTACGTAAAAAAGGTCTTAAATGTAGATTTTTTACTTAGTAGTTTTATATAGGTACGGACGAAAAGTTATTACTCTTCAAACCAGTTAAAAAATATACCGGTGGCGCCCTCTACACGTAGATCATATTGACACCAAAATTAAATTTCTCATGCAAAAAAACTCCCAGATACCATTTTCATTCAAATATTGACTTTACTTCAAAAATTATTTGGAAAAAATTGAAATAAAAATGAAACTTCTACACCCTGTATCTCCGAAACAAAGCATTTTAGGACATACATTTATAGAAACTTTTTTACTTATTTTTATCTGCAGAATATGCTGCCGGAGTTTCCGGAACACAGTTCGGACCACCCTGTATACTATTACTAGTCTTTTTAATATTTTTTTAATTAATATCCGACATATAAGAACACTTTGTATGCTTTTAATTAAGTTGATTTATCGTTTATAATATGTTCGACCTAATTAAAAGCACACAAAGTGTTCTTACATGTATGACTAAATATATTAATTAATTTTTTAAGTAATTAACTAAAACAACCCCCCTCCCCGCACCCCTCTCTTCCGTTAGTATTTCTTCCTCCGACTATCAGAGGCGCCCTTGTATAATAAAATTGAAATGTATTATAAGTTGCCTATCTATTTAATATTATAAGTCTTTTATCTATGGGTATAGCTTAGTATAATATTATGAGATACGAAAGTAGTTTCCAAAAATGTAATAACCCAAGCAACACACAATGGTATATTATACGTTTAAATTGATGTAATACCGTCCGTCTTATCTAAGTATACGACAAAGAATGTGAAACGTATAATAAACTGCAAAATGTCCGCGACTTCAACGTATATATTTAAGTTTTCTATATTCATTTTATAATCGTATATACATATACCAATATTATACAAGATGGTAAACGTATATTAGCAATTTATGATATACTAGGATTACACGTAGACCAAATACATGTATTAAATGTTATTTTTCTTTCTAAATTTATACGTGAAACAGAACCATTTATTAAATGTTATTTTTACATACAAATTTACAATATGCGTATCCAGGAAATGAAATTTAGTAATATAACCACCTAGCATTATTGTTTTTCATTAATATGAAGGATTTTTGAACCAGTATAAATAAACCTTAGGGCCTTAGGTTACTTAAGAAATGCTACATAATGGTGAATCCAAATATCTCGATATTTGGATTACCTACCCTATATAATTACCCTATATAATTATACCCTATATAATTATACCTGTATATAACATAATATTGCAATCTTTAAGTAACCTAAAATTAAAAAGTTTGTTTTTACTGCTACAAAAATTCTTCCTATTAATAAAAACAATAATGCTAGGTGGTTAAATTACTAAATTTAATTACCTAATCAATTTTTTTTGGTTAATGATTGGATTTTTAATGAATAAGAATAAAAAACTTAATTGGAAATCTTCTTTAATAACATCTTAAAAATTGGAGACACATACCGTACATTACTGAAATAAAAATAAACAAATCATATCATAATTCTTAAAATAAGAAAACTGATAATGCATAAATATAACTACACATTAAATATAAAGAATCACATTTTTTCTCTGACATACGAGTAGTATATTATTTCACAAAATCGTTTAAATCAATCCAGTTGTCTACCAGAATAAGCAAGTTTGACAGCTTCTAAAAAATGAAGAAAGGGCCAACAATATATTATACAATTACTGATAGGATGTAATAAATAACTTTCTAACAACAAGTTTTTATTTAATCTATGTACTAAAAGTTTAGGTTTAAGAAAGGTCTGTTTTTTGAAAAAGTGTTTGCGCGAATTGTTTTTTTAATTTGCAACAGGGGTATGTAAACGGTATACAGTATACGTCTACAAAACCTATACTCAGTACTGCAAAAACTTGTCATTGAACATGAACATATTCATGCATATAAAAATATACATAAATACATACATCTGAAGTTAAATAAAAGCTTATAATTGATAAATTTAAAACTTACTCTCAATGCCGTTTCCAAAGGAAAAAAAATGACGAAAAAAATCCTCAAAACGCTACAACGCGTAATACGTAAGTAACAGAGCCTAAGTGTAAATTCTGCCTCTTTCTTCTGCAATTGAACTATAAATTGTGTAAAAGGAGTAGCTGGATATACCATATTTATGTCTTTGGGAACAGTATTATATTATAATAACGCACCTTATATTGATATCAAACAAAGTGTGGACACAATGGCGTCTTTACCCTTGATCACGCGTATGAATACCCTGAGCCTAGATGTTTCATCGAAGACGCAACGTGATTGGGTAGATTTGATCATGTGACAAGATTTTGTAGTGTCGAGTATAGGTTTCATATACGTATACCATATTCCATTTAGATTCCATCTGCTGTAAAAAGTCAACGATATGATTGGAAGGTCTAATCACGTGACTAGATTTTATAGTGTCGAATAAACGTTTCGTATATAGTCTATATACCATTTCTATACAATTTATTGATACTGGTTACATACGTTTTTGAAATTCAGTTCTTTTCAATATTTTTATATTCGAGTTCAAATTTATCAAAAAATCACAAAAAACAATTTGATGATGACTTACCCTTTGTGTCTGAACTTTTCAAAAATTACGAATATAAATGACTTGATGCCAAAATCGAAATATTATATACTTAAAATATATGCTTCGAATATACGTTAAAAAGCAGTATAATAATGTTCAGTATAATAAACGTATATACTAAGATTAACGGAAAATAAAGCCCTTTAATATGCGTATATTATACGTTGCATATAAAAAAGTAATATGAAATACGTATATTATTTATACCTTTAAAAAATATACGATATTTATACAGATAGTACGTTTATTAAACGTATATACTCTTCAACGGTGTTGCTTGGGCATAAAAAAAGATGCTACCACTTTTCAAATGCTGCGGCAACACTGTAATGCTGAAAATGTTTTAGAAAGATGGGGCAGGTGCCTTCAAAAAAATTTCCATCACCAGTTCTTCATAAACGTCTAACGTGCCATTGTCGTGAATAGTGTATAGATAAATTAGAGTGTAGTCCTGAGTAAGACAGAATATTTATCGAAACGTCCACTAGTTGATAAACAATAAACCTGAGTTTTATTTGACAAAAAATTTGACAAATTTTAATGAATGCTATTACTTAGGTATAATAATGGACAATTCGAGAAGATGGTCTCTTTTTGTTGATCCCCAAGCACAAGCTAGTAACTGGATTAAAAAAATGGAAAGAATAAACAACCTAGAAGCTGTTAAGTTTTCATTTCCGGATTACATGAAAAAAATTGAGATGTGCGTTCAATTAGGATATCCCGTTATAGTAATAGATACCATTTTTTGATCAATTAACCATAAAGGCATTGCTATTTTATATAGATTGAAAGTGTAGACGAAGAACTTGAAGCTGCAATTGATCCTTTGCTATTCAAGAAAACATTTAAACAGGGTGGAATAGAAGTAATTGGAATAGGTGAAAATGTGATTGAATATAACAAAAATTTTAGGTATTATTCAAATAAAAATATTAATTTTATTATTTAAATGACTTAATTTAAAATAATTAAAATAAATAAATATATAAAATTAAACCTAACATTTTATGAATTTTGACATCTATCTAAGATGTTCTGAGAAAAAATATTTAAAAGTTCCTAAAAACTGTCTGTCAAAGAAAAGTCGTATGAAGTCGTATAGTTTAAACTTTAAGTTTGTCGGTAAAAATACTGTATCTTAAAAAGAAGGTATCTGAATATTTATTTCACAAAGAAAATCTCGAATAATTTAGAGTCATTTTCTGTAGCTGTGTGAATTAATTCATCAAAAAGTTGCCATAATTCAAGCTTATCTTATTACCTGTTCTGATGATCATCCTGCAATGCATGCGCAGAAGGAAATAAGTGACAATTTTTCATCTGCTATGGCATCTGCATCTTCTAATAGCAAAAACGCGAAGAAAGCATCAGATTTTATATTTTACTACTTTGTTGAAAAATCCAGGCAGTTAAAATTTTTATTATAAATGTTCTTAAAAGATTGTTTTAATGTAGGTATCCCTAATATTTCGTGGATGCGACCACAAATAGTTTTGTCGACCGAAAAAAATGTCGACCTTGCATGTCTTTAAATAGTAAAACTTTAGTGTGACGATTCAACATTAACTGTATCGAATACTAAAACTACTATTTTATCTGTTTAAAATTATTTTTAAGTAAAGCAGCATGTTCTTTATTGCTAATTTTTAGGTTGTATTTAACATCAAAATTACGAAATCCTCATTATTTACCTGAAGTTTTTAACCGAGTTACTATAATTAATTTTGCTTTGACTCTAGAGGGTCTTCAAGACCAACTGTTAGGTATAGTATTTCCATTAAAAAAAACGTGAGAATATAACAATTACTTTTGGTTTAGGTATTGTCGTAGCCGTCGAAAAACCGGAACTGCAACAACTTAAAGAAGAATTGATTGTTCAAAAAGCCGAAAACAAGGCAGCACTTGAGAATACAGAAGAGAAAATATTAAAAACTCTATCAGAATGCAAAGGTGACATTCTTGAAGACGAAACCGCAATTCAAATATTGGACGATTCAAAATTGCTGTCTACCGAAATCAGGGAAAAGCAGGTTAAATCACTACAGATTGAGAAATCGATTGAAGAATTTCGAGTGAAGTATCAAGAAGTTGCCGAACATTCAGCTGTTTTATATTACTGCATCTCAGATTTAGCTAACGTAGATCCTATGTATCAATATTCACTTGAATGGTTTATAAATTTGTACATTTCTTCTATACAAAGAGCTGAGAAATTTAGAAGCATCGAGAGACGATGTCAAAGTCTTATCAATGCTTTTACGTTCGATCTGTACAATAACATTACGAGGTCATTGTTTGAAAAAGACAAGTTACTTTTCTCCTTTTTGCTTTGTTCAAAAATAATGATTTATCAGAATAAACTAGACGAAAAAGAGTTTATGTTTTTCCTCACTGGTGGCGTAAACGTCGAAAATCCTTTGGAAAATTCGTGTAAAGAATGGCTACCAGATAGCTCTTGGGATGAAATATGTAGATTGGATGAATTGCCATTATTTAAAGGATTTAAAACAAGCTTTATTAAAGACAGTGCAAAATGGAAAAATATTTATGATAACTTTAAAGAAGACGTGGTTTGGCCAGAACCCTGGCATAGTAAACTGAATACTTTTGGGTAAGGTATAATATTGAAAAACTTAAATATCTAAACATTCTCTAATCCAATGTGAGTTCATCATAAATTTAAAACCTCTAACGAGGGGGACTCAAACCTCATATTTTTTTAAAATTTTTATTTCAAAAAATAATTGTTGTTTAATGGGGTTGGAAAAAGTTACTTCCCATCATCAGGCCCAAAAGCTAAAATAATCTTAAACACACTGAAACTTTGATTAAAATAAGTATATATTTTTGAGGAAAGTCATACAAAACAATGTTAAGTGTTAAAATACAGTCACAAACAAAAAGTTAAAAGTTATTACAATTATTTAATCACAGATAAGCTATGGTACGCCAAGTTGAGTATTAAAATTATTAAATTACAATTACAAATGACAGCAATAATCAGTTTATACTCTATCCAACGACAAGAAGATTAAACTAAAACCTGTTCTAAAGACAAAGAGGAAACTTCAAATTTAGGTGAGAGGAGCCAAATTGTATATTGTAGTTTATCTTAAGGGAAGGAAACAGGAGTGTATTAATAAATTCTGTCAATTATTTTTTTATATTATGGATTGTTTAATATTTTTATATATTTGTTTAATCGAATTTAGTTTGTAAAATATATTTTAATAATTTGGATTTGTATGTGTTAATTAGAATAAGTAAATGGTTTTAACTCTGTCCCTCCTTGTATAAGTCTGTATTTTATTTTTCATCAAGCCAAGAACAATTAATATACAGGGTGGCGCACCTCATTCGCCTCGGTTGATTATACGAAAACGGAAAGATGCAGAAACAAAATATTTTCTGGGTATATGTGGGGAGGCAATGTGCACAATTTAAAATTATTTTGAAATATACAGGGTGTCTCAGAACTAAGATCCATACCAAAGTTTTTTTTCTTATGGAACACCCAGTATTTTATTTCATTTTTGGATTCTTGGGCCCAAAAAAAAATCTTTATTATAAGGGTTAAATATGTTTAAAATCTTTTGTTTTTGAGATATTTGATACACCCTCTACATTTCAAAATAATTTTAAATTATGCAGATTGCCTTCCCAGATATACCTATAAAATATTTTGTTTCTACATATTTCCGTTTTCGTATAATCAACCGAGGGGAATGAGGTGCGCCACCCTGTATACTCACACAAAAGTCAAAATTTTTTTCGAAAAAAACGAATATAGATATTGAATATCTCGGTTTTAACTTACATTAATATAATTAACAACGCTTTGCTAAGACGTCGGATGATGTAGCTAAATCAAATTGTAAAATAAAAAACAAAATAATTAAAATGTGTCTTGAAGCTATGGTAGAAGAATTTATTGGTAAATACAAAAGAATTGTTTAACGGCTGATTGATGGAAATTAGAGCAAATGCAGTTTTAGAATGAATGGTTACAATTTAGATGTCTTTTCTATTTTAAGTTGGTTTAGCTTTTTGGCGTGACTTTTGTGTGAGTATATATTACTTATTCCTGGCTTGATTATAAATAAAATAGAGACTTACACAAGGAGAGACGTAGTTAAAACCATTTACTTATTCTAGTTAACACATACAAATCCAAATAAATAAAATATATCTTACAAACTAAATTCGATTAAAAAAAATATAATTTTTTTTAAATAATAGACAGAATTTATTAGTCCACTCTGTTTTCTACCATTAAGATAAACTACAATAGACAATTTGGCCCCTGTCACCTAAATTTGAATTTTCCTCCCTGTTTTTAGAACAGGTTTTTGTTACTCTTCTTGTTGTTGGATAGAGTATAAACTGATTATATGTTGTCATTTGTAATTGTAATTCAGTAATTTTAATACTCAACTTGGCGTACCATAGCATATCTGCAATCTAATAATTGTAATAATTCTTAACTTTTTGTTTGTGACTGTATTTTATCACTTAACATTGTTTTGTATGACTTCTCTCAAAAATATTTACCTAGTTTGATTGTGATTTACGATTATTTTAGCTTTTGGGCCTGATGATGGGAAGTAGAATTTTTAGAATTTAGAATGAGTGGGAGGGGGGCTAATCACTGCGACCTTACAGATCTATTGTGTCCCCCTTTCTTTAGTTATTATTGTACTATTGTATTATCCAACTCATCATACAGTCCCAGGGCTTTGACAAAAGTCAGTATCTGGGGCGGTTTTACAGAGGGTAGTTTTCCATCTCCAATATCAGTCGTATCATGCCACGAATGGTTGTCGTCTCGGCGCGCTCAGCGATGAGGTGTTCCGGTGTTTCCCCATCTTCCCCACACAATCTGCATTCGCTGTTTCTTCTTAGTTTCAATCTACTGAGGTGTTCATTGAGGAGACAATGTCTTGTTAAAAATCCCGTGACACTCCGATTGTTCTTCCTTAAATCCAGGAAAATCTTTGATTTGTCTTGGTCGTAAGCCCTTAGAAACTTCTTCGAGTGTATTATACCGTTGCAAGATTCCCATTCCAGGTTGCGGATGGAGTCTTCCATGTTCTTGAGTTTCGCCTTTAGTTGGTTACCACTTGGGAAGCAGAACGGTTCTGTTCCAGTTAGTGGAGTGTTCGCTCCTTTTCCAGCTAGATCATTTGCTTTTTCATTGCCTTCTATCTCTTAGTGAGCAGGCACCCAGAGTAGGAGGACTTTGCTTTCTTTGCCTAATTTATTCAGTTTCTCTATGCATTCTTTGACCAATTTCGAATTGATTAACACTGAGTTGATCTCTTTTAACGCTGCTTCACTATCAGATAAGATGGCTATTTCTTGTTTCCGATAGTTCCTATCTAAGATAAGTTGTACGCATCTATCGATAGCGTAGATTTCTGCCTGTAGGATGCTAGGTTAGGCACCCATTGGTTCGGAGTATTTAGTTCTCGACCCAAATTCTCCGATCCCTGTTCCCGCATTAGTTTTGGAAGCACCAGTATACAAAGCTATAGCATGGTCTTTTAACTGCTGAGCAGATGTTTCTCTCTTCCAATCCTTATTTGCTCATTACTAGATTGAGACGTTTCTCAAAGTTGTAAATTCTTGGCATATCATGCACTGGGAGTTACAGGAGTGGTATTTCCTTTTTGAGGGTGTTCCAAGCCCCTGATCTGACAATTCTCCCAGTACTGATTCCGTTAGTGAACATTCTAATCATTCTCGCATTGGCATATCTATCGATGACAATGTGTAGTGGTGATAGATCTAGAATGACCTCCATTGCTGCGGTTGGACTGGTTCTCATGGCTCCTGTGATGCAAACGCATGCTAGTCTCTGGACTTTGCACACGTTTAGCCTTGCCGTCCGTTGCTCTAGTTTTGTGTACCAGGCAACTGCTCCATAAATAATCATGGGTCTTACTATCATGAGCAGCCCCATCTATTTCAGGCCAGTCTTCTGCATATCATGAGAGCCTTTGTGGCTTTGCTGGTAATATTCTAAATTGATGGAAAGTAACTTTTCCCAAAACATATTGTCCCATTTAACAAACATTATTTTTTGGAACTTAAATATCTTAATCTTATAGAAAATTTTGATAAACATTTTAGACGACTGATAATAATACGGATATTAAGGGCCGACAAACTGAAACAATCTATCACAAGTTTTGTAAAGTCGGAAATGGATGAAAGATTTATAAGACCTCCTCCTTTTAACATATCATTGTCATATGATGATTCTTACAATATATGTCCTCTCGTATTTATATTGTCACCAGGAACTGACCCCATGTCTGCATTAGTGAAGTTTGCAGAAGAAAAAAAGATGACAGAGAGGTAATTTTTGTGTTTTATTATTTGTTTTGAGTTTTAGTAGCAATTGTATTAAACTAAATATTGTTTAAAGGTTCCGTTCTATTTCCCTTGGCCAAGGACAAGGTCCCATGGCACAAGCTCTAATAGAAGAGGGCCAAGATGGAGGACTGTGGGTCTGTTTACAAAACTGCCATTTAGCAACGTCTTGGATGCCAAGCCTAGAAAAAATATTTGAATCGCTAGATTATGCGAATACTCATGACAATTTTAGACTTTGGCTCACAAGTTATCCCTCAAATAGGTTTCCTGTGTCCATTTTACAGAGGGGAGTAAAAATGACCAACGAGCCCCCAACAGGTTAGGTTTATATAAAATGTATAAAATTTTAATATAATTAATTAATATTTTCTCTGAAGTTGTATATTGCGATGATATTCTACATCATTTCTTCGTATCTGTTTTTGGGGCCTCCGTACTAACAGTATTTTTGTGTGGATTTGCATCTTGTGGATCCATCTAGCATGATTGATTATTCGGGCCATATGTCAGGAAAACTCCACTTAAGGCTTGTTGCTTTTCTCTCGTCTCTTGGCGTCTCCCAGTTTGGCCCTAATGTTGTTCATTTTCGGCCCTAGTTAAATGTAAGTTGGTTTAGTAAAGTTTTTTAGAAATGGCTTTGTTTTTTTTGAGAGCTATACCATGATTCCTGAAATGTGGATTGCCGAGATGTATCTATTGGCATTAGTAGTTCAATACATACCAGGTTTCTATGGTGTTGAGCGCTTTCTGGCAATTCACTGACCAAAATAGTATTTATTGAATTTTCATAAGACGTATTTTAAAGTTTGCATATGGTCGATTTATAATATTCGAGTTGTATTTTCATATAATATGCGCATACATAGGTTGGTGTAAGTCACCAACAACAGTGTAATCATTACAACAGGTTAATCAAAATTATTTATAATATATATGAATTCCCTTTAGTTAAACAAAGAACGATTTTTACAGAAATAAAATTAATGAAAATAAACAAGACTTCAAGAAAATTTATCAAATAATTAAAGAGGCAACTAATGACTTAGTTCATGATGAAAATTGTAGTAACCACATTGTTTCAGAAAATGGCAATGTAATTGATGATAACAAAGATTTGGCAAACTATACCAATAATTATTTCATAAATGTTGGTCAAAATATGGCTGATAAGTTTGGAAAAACCACAACTTTTCCTGTTCTAAAGTTTCATAATACAAATTCAATATATCTGACACCCGTAACTGAAAATGAAATTATTCAGTATATTGCCCAATTAAAAAATAATAGTTCTTCTGGATCCGACGGTATTTCAGTTAAATTAATAAAAAGAATAAACCACTATATTTTAAAGCCATTAACACATATTATTAATACTATTTTCCAAAGCGGCAATGTTCCGATATATTTAAAGTTTCTGTAGTAATTCCTATATACAAGTCGGGAGATAAATGTAATGTTACTAACTATCGACCCATCAGTTTAATAAATAATTTTAGCAAAATTTTAGAAAAGGCACTAAAAACCCGATTGTTGGCTTTTCTTGAAAAAAATGACATTATATCAAATAATCAATACGGTTTTATAAAAGGAGTTAGTACTGCAGATGCAATATGGAAACTGATCTCCGAAGTGTCACACAGTCTTAACAATAATGAGAAGGCTATCGCAATTTTTCTGGATTTGGCAAAAGCATTTGATACGGTCTCCCACCACATTCTCCTGGGAGTCCCATTTAAGTATGGTATAAGGGGCCTAACTTTGCAACTATTTAAATCATACCTACAAGACAGAAAACAAATGGTCAAAATAAATAATCAGTTCAGTAACCCCAATACAGTAAGAATAGGTATTCCTCAGGGAACAGTGTTGGGTCCTATCTTATTTATAATATATATGAATTCCCTTCTTAAGGAGGTAAGTGTCGATGGGACTCTCTTATCTTATGCCGATGACACGGTTTTGATTGTCAATGGTAATTCCTGGGAAGAGGCTAAAGAAATAGCAGAAAATAGCTTCAGTAAGGTTTGCACTTGGCTGAACAATCTCCAACTTACTATTAATGATGAAAAAACAAAGTTTGTAGCATTTTCATTGACCGAAAAAAACAGACCTGAATTTGATACTATTAATACAAATCTAAACTAAAATATATAGATCTATATATAAACTAAAATATATAGAGTCTATTCTGAGATATGGCATTCTCGTGTGGGGAAATGCATCACAACCAAAACAGTTTTAAGGCCTTTGAACATTCTTCAAAATTATATATTAAAAGTAATATTTAGAAAACCGAAATTATTTCACACTGAGTTGTTGTATTCGGAGACTGTCCCCAATCTTAGACATATATACATCCTAAATGTCGTTAGATTCATGCAATTAGACACCAAAAAGAAAACAATACATCATAATTATAGCACTAGAGCTAATACAAAAAAACACCTTATGCTCCCGGAAAACAGAACTGCGCGACGAGTCTAAACTCAGTAAATAATATGGGTCCAAAATTATATAATTGTATTCCTCTGGAGATACGCAGAGTAAGTAACATACATAAATTTAATCTAGAATATAGAGAATATGTTTATAATAATTACAAAACAGTCTTTCAACACATTTTTGAGTAGAAACACAATGTATGCCTGTCATATTTTTCGATTATAAACCTTATGTTATTTACCTTTCCTTTATTTACGCTATTTTTTATCCTAGTTATTAAGTTAATTATAGCTAGATTCATTTTTATTGGTTATTAAGTTTAATTAAGCAAATCTTTACTTAGATGTAAGACAATCAAATATATCAATTTTATATTCTAAGAAAAAGCTAAACAACGAGACGCATTCAGGTTTCACATAGAAACCTAGGTGTCTCCATATTTATTTAAAATTTAATATCTGTATAATAGTAGTAATAGTGAGCTAAAATATCAAAAATATTAAATAGTAATAAGTTATTTAAAACAAAAATTGAAACAGGTAAAATCGTTACACCACTTCTTTTTAAATAAATATTACATTATATAAACACATTATTTACACTGACCTACAATTAAAAATATTGCAGTGATCGTCAAATTCCTATGATGTAAATTTTCTAAGCAAATTACGTAAGGCTATTTTTGTAAATATTTATATTGATATCTATTATGAATTCACGTACTTGTATGAATTATATTATTGATTAGGTAACTAGGTTACTACTATTTATATTTTATTATAATTTGTAAAACAATGTACCATTGTAGAAATAAAGATTTTTTGAATTTGAATTTTGAATTTCCAGTGAAATAGGTAGTGACCGAAAATAATTGAAAACGTCGATCAATCCAGATTTATGTCCTATACTAACATAACAAATCTCGTTTTTTATCTAAAAATTAAAAAGGACATAGAAGTGAACAACTTTTCAGAAACACCCGGTATATTTATTTCTAAAAATGTAATGGTAAAATTTCATTTCCGGTGTCAAGCTTCCTATTAAGTAGTAATTTTTAATTTCAGAATCCTATAATTCCTGTTTATAACAAAAATAATCATAAAGGTCTTTATTGATAAAAATTAAATTATATGGACGAAGTCTAGCTACATAGCTATTCACACTCAACCCACAATAAAATTAAAATTATAAAATCTTTTCTTTGTGTAAACAAATTAGTTGTAAATGTTTTTCACGATCCCAGTCAATAACTGCGTCTCCCATTGTCGAATACTCGGTAAAAAATAAAAATCACAGATGGACGCCCGAAATTAAATGAGACCCTTCTAAGTGTCCGCCACAGTGTCCGCCGAAATGCACGCCGTTCGCTCCTTTAACATGCAGGCAGACGCACGCTCTGGCGTACAAGCTAGCCGTTCGGCGCTCCGCGCTCCTAATAGGCCTAGGCTAGCCTATGTACTTATTGGCTTTATTATTTATAAATCTATGTATTTATAAATCTATGTATTACTATGTACTTGTTGGCTTTATTATTTATAAATCTACCTATCTCACAATTTTCACTTTATATCTCGTTAATTATATATGTTCGCGAACGTTTTGTTCGCCTAGCTTGGACGCGGCTTTAGATGGAGAATTAAAAAATGAGCATTTTTTGTATTTAATGTTTTAAAAATTTTAGGGGTTCTATTAAAAAAAAAAAAACTATTTTATATTTTAGACAGTTTGACATAGAATTTTGAATAGCCTCTCTGGTTTAAGTTTTTATACCCTTATGATTTTTTATCTTGTAATAAAATATTTTTTTAAAGACAACAAAAATGTTTTTCCGAAGCTGACTTACACCAACCTATGTATGCGTATAAAATAAAGTAGGCGCATGCGCTAATACAATCTAGTTGACGACATTTTTTTTGTATCACAAATGATATTTGGCAATAAACTTCATAAATTTTAAATATTAATTAACAATCAGGTTTATTTTTGATTGATGTCTAACGGACAAACGAAGCACTACTACTATAGAGATAAATTGTGCACAAATAACTTATCTTGATTCACAAACGGCCTAATTCTTCTACATTTACGGAGTATTGGAACTCCCTGTATATTTTCTAGACTTGCCTTGCGAAAAAAAATTCTCCATTTTTTTTCAACAAGAAACAAAAATGTGGTAAACACTAGGAGGGCCACGTTACGAAAAATAATATCAGTCGTCGGTGGAGTTGGAAAATATTTCTACTAAAATTTATGTAGGAGTGGACGCAGTTTTCACCATTTCCGTAATTTTTCTTGTTTTTTTGTGAAAGTTCCAATGTCAAAGCGCTTAGCAAAATATAAGCACCCCAAATCTTGTTCAAATCGGAATATCGATTCTTAAAATAAGGTGGGTGGACCATGGAACGCCACTGTAACGAATAAACAGTTTTTATTAGTTAATTTGCTGCATAAATGAAAGGAACACATTATTAATTAACATTTGTTTTATTGTGTAACATATATATTACTGTTTTTAATCTAGATGTAATCACTATTTATTAAACTTAACTTTTGCAAGGAACAGGGTTCCATACAAGGCCAATATTATGAATCAGTCGTTCAACTTAAAACTAGAGTTGTAATAATCAAAATATCTGCTTTTACTAAAACTACATAAAAAGCTCTTTCATTTAAACGAAAAATGAAATGCTTAACTTATTATAATCCGAAAATACGACGACACGACAAGCCGGGAATTCGTCGCAATTTTCACACTTTGCAAATCCTTCCAGCCACAAGTTGAGCGCCAGTGTAAGATTCCGGTTGGGGATTTTGGGTTGCTGGTAAATAATCCACACTCGCGTGAAAGTTACAACTACTTTAATGACAAAAAAACTTAGAAAACAATAATAAAACGATTAAAAATCACCCGGCGTTCAATGTCACGTAAAGACCTTCGCAGACTGACTGCTTGGGCGGCGTTGTCGGCTTGTTCAACGTATTTGGGGAACATGGGACAGCTCGGGAGGTCGTTACAAAATTATTTAAAAATTGTAGTAATTGGTATTATATCGACAAAAAATAAATCCCCAATGCGTTTTGGAATGAAATTACAAAAAATTACCTATAATGACCTTTTTATGGGTTTGTTCTTTGTAAGGCCAAAATGTTTTTTAGCTAAAAAGTTGAATAACCCTTACAAACAATAGTATTATAAACATAAAACAATGTTTCAACATTTCCGGTACGTATTTATAACTAAAAACTAAGTGTTCATATTTTCATGATTTGTAAATATTCCTAGTAAGGCCTATGTACAAGGCCAACCGTCGAATTTTTGATTGGCTTTATAAGGAACCACCGGTTTTTATAAGAACACTGGCGATATTTTAACTGAAATCAAAGCAAAATTATTATTTATTTCTTTAGTACCATAACAAATTCTTATATGACAATTTACAGTAAACAAATAAGATAATAATAGGTTATTTACATAAAACTTACCTTTTTCTGTGCACGCGAATTTCAATTTTAACATCGACGATTGAAGTCTACGAAGTGAGGGACCGCACAAACAAAATAGCGACGCGAGCGAATCACTGTCGCGTCTATGTCTTGTGTTTAATGGAGCTTAGTGTGAATGGAAGGAATTTGTCATCACATGACAATAACTATGACTTTTTATAGTTGCTCTTCAAAGGAGCATGACCTTCCATGGTCCACCCACCTTATCTTAAAAAATGTGTTTATTTTGTCATGCCCTCTAACGAACAACCGAAGCACTTTTGTATCGAAGCAAATTCTGTGCGGATATTTTTCCTATCTTGATTCAAGAAATATCTAGTTCTTTTATATCGACGGTTTATAACAAAGTTAGATTATATTAATATACAATTAAATAACGGTATTTTTATGTTATTTTAGGGCTTCAAAACAATCTTTTGAAATCCTACATTAACGACCCCGTTAAGAATCCCGTATTCTACGACGGATGCGAAAATCACAAGTCAATGTTTGCTAGATTACTCTACGGGCTGGCCTTTTTCCACGCTGTTGTTCAGGAACGCAGGACATTTGGCCCACTTGGTTGGAATATTCCCTACGGTTTTAACGATTCTGATTTCGATATTTCCGTTCAGCAACTGCAAATGTTCATTAACGAGAGTGAAAATCCTTTCGAAGCCTTGAGCTATCTTATTGGAGAATGTAATTATGGAGGTAAGATGAAAAACTAAATTAAGTTTTTTAAATAGTTGACAAAACGGGCAATAATTCATAAATATTTTAATTAATTTTATGAAGTTACGACGACGATAATAACGATATACCGTGTGGTAGTGATGGGCATTACGATTCTTTTCAGCGAATCGAATCACACGATTCAATTTCTCATATTGATTCGGCTGCTACGATTCGTTCATTTGAACGAACCACGTGCACAATTTACGTTTAATAAAACCTAACCTAAAACAAGAATCACAACTGGCACTACCGGCGATAATTTGGCCGGATAATTACTCAATGGATCAGAAAAAGAAATATACAGTTCTTTCATTTGTTTTTCAACACTCTCTAACACTGGCGTAATTAGATTGATTATTTTATAAATAATATCAAATTATCAATCCAATTCATATATACTATTTATTAAAGACTTCTTAATACCAATTTATTATTTTGAGAGCCATATTTTAATTCCGATTTAATAATCATAATAAATAGTATATAATACCGCATGATTGAAAAAAGGGCATCCAGTTGGCTTGGAAATGAACATCGATGACATTCCCCATATAATTTTACATATAAAATGATAGCGATCTTCATTTTATAACCATCACTGCCGCCGTTTCTTTTATCATATTGAGCAGAGGCCGACAATATTTATTAAGTGTAGGAAAAAATTAGTCGGCAAGCCCTCAACAAACTCGTAACCGTATACACCAGTGTACACTATTGTAGACATTCACACTTACACACAACAACCACACCTACATCAGTGTACACTAGTGTAACTGCCTTCCAGCATCATCAGTACGGTAAGGAATTAGCAAGCGATGACAACGATCCCAAAAACCTACTAGGTTGCAGACGGTGCCTCGTGCATCGTTTGCTTCCTGGTTTATATTTTTTGGGATCGTTGTCATCGCTTCCTGTTTCCTTACCGTACCTTACACTAGTGTACACTGATGTAGGTGTGGTTGTTGTGTGTAAGTGTGAATGTCTATAATAGTGTACACTGGTGTATACGGTTACGAGTTTGTTGAGAGCTTGCCGACTAATTTTTTCCTTCTGTTTTTATATATTCTCCTCACTATTTCAATTTTTATTTTATTAAGAGTTGCATAAAAACACGATTTCGTCTTTTAGTCCGACATTTCATGGTTTATAATCAGTAATACTGTTTTAACAAAAATATTAACGTGAAAATTACATACCCTACAGATACTCCCGTACTAAGCACAGTATAACTAAGTTTTTTTTTCTTGTAAATAACTTTCTTATCGTTTGCATTTTATGCATATGATGTTTGTTTAGGGCAAGTCTAAATAGTGGTGCCTGACTCTATACCTATATCACCGCCGCCGCCGCAACGTGCCGTAGAAACGAACGATAGCATTGCATTGTGATCCGATTCAATTCTCACGATTCTGCTTTACGGCTCATCGTTCAAATCTTATCCGTGCTGGCCACTATTCAATTGAACGAACCGTATTCTAAGCAGTGAATCGAAGTTCACGATTCATTTTTAATACTCATTTTAATAACGAACCACTCAATAATAGCGACACACACAATCTTTGCCCACCTCTATCGTGTGGTTCATCGGCATCAGAACACGGAAAATCGCATGTAAATTTTGAAGAAGTTAAATATTATCACCCCAGATGGTTTTATGCAAAAGGTGTATTAGACTTTTTTGAAGAGACGTTAAAGTCCTTTTTTCTAGAATTTTGTATTATTTGCAAAAATCTACCTTCAAATTAATGAAATTTTATGATACGGCCCAGAGAAAGCTACAATTAAAATACCAATAGAGTATATTATATTACCAGTTAAAATCAATATTATTAATTTAGTAATCTATACTAATATATAAAATCTTAAAGTGACTGACATACTGATTAATCACGATCCTGCTCAAACCACTCAACGTAAGAAGCTCAATTTTGGCATACAGGTTGATTCTAGGGTGTAGAGGTTCGATAAGCAGGGATTTTTCGAAATTCCAGTTCCAAGAGGGTGAAACCACCCCTCAAATATTACAATATTTTTTATTTAAAAAACGGCCAAGTTTCTGAAAAAACGCTTAAACACGTATATTTTATTTTGTTTTTTTACATATTTTAAGATATTTCAAAAATGTATACAGGGTGTTTCGAAAAATCTGGTCATTGATTAATCACGATCCTGCTTAAAGCGCTTGACGTAAAAAGCTAATTTTTGGAAAACAGATTGACTCTAGGGTGTAGAAGTTCGATAAGAAGGAATCTTTCGAAACTCGAATTCTAAGGGGGTGAAACTATCCCTCAAATATTAAAATATTTTTTATTTAAGAACCGGTGAGTTTTTCAGAAAAACTCTTAAACACGTATATTTTATTTTGTTGTTTTACATATTTTAAGATTTTTTAAATTTATACAGGGTGTTTCATAAAATATGACCATTGAGTAATCACGATTCTGCTTAAACTGCTTGACGTTTAAAGCTGATTTTTGGCAAACGGATTAACTGTGGGGTGTAGAGATTCGATAAGGAGGGGTTTCTCAAATCTCAAATTAAAAGAGGGTGAAAACGCCCCTCAAATATTACAATATTTGTTATTTAAAAAACGGTTAGTCTTTCGGGAAAACGCTTGGATAAGCATAATTTATTTGTTTTTTTTTTACATATTTTGAAATTTTTTAAAAATCATACAGGGTGTTCCAAAATGTTGGGTAATTTCTTAACGACGATTCTGCTTAAACTGCTTGACGTAAAAGCTTATTTTTGGCAAACGGATTTTTGGAAAGTCAAATTCCAATGAGATGAAACTACTCCTCAAATATTATCAAGTTATATAATAATATCGCCATATTGTTTTTCCTCATGCTGACATAAATGTGAGAAAATGTGATCCAGTCTGTATGTTAATGGAAATTCTTGCTATGCTTTATCATCACCATTACAAATGATTAATTCGACGCGAACGAAGTCGCTGGTACACGCTAGTAATTTAATAATTAAAATATTTTTTTTTCTGATCAATTTTCATAAAACTTTTATTTAACAATTTGTTTAATTAAAATTCTTTAAGATTTATATGAAAAAAAAGATAATACAAATTGTACGAATGTAAAGTCACATGTATTTATTCCTTCAAATTTATATAAAGTTTAATTTAATCTCAAAAAGGGGCAAATAATTCAAACAAAAATTTAACCTTACAAAACTACGCTACAAAACTACTTCTATACTTAAATTTTGACGACTCAATAGACTCTTATAAATCCATGATATTTTTTAGACATAGCCCCCGTGTAATAAATTTTCTGGCTTGGTTTATATTAGGACGAATCGGCCAGTTCTTGAAGAACTCGCTTTTGTATTTTTTTGGGTGTCGATTTCACAAATAATGACATCCCATGGTACAAAGAAAACAAGGTATGATCGATAGCGGCTCCAATTTTGTTCAGTTTGCGCATACCACCTGTGACGTCATATGCCATACAAAAAAATATGCATATTGTTCAATTTCCACTAATAAAAAAAGACATAAAATAAGGAAGAATTAGGACATAACCCCAAAAGTTATGTCAAATCATCGAGCTTGACATTTGAAAAGATATGACACATTTATCATGTGTCATCTGATCGACAATTTGAAATTGGCGCGCGGAGCTTGCCAACCTGCGCAATATCATACCTTGTTTTCTTTGTATCATGATGACATCCAGTGTGGCTGAATTCTAACCCTAGATCATGTATACTTACATGGATAAATCAACGCCATATTATGTTTAGCATTAAAGAATATGTCTCCAACATCACGACATTTTCAAACCTTCTTTATTGCACTTACGAAACGTTCAACAGGTTTGTTTTTCTCGAGGACCTTAATTTGCGCATGCGCATTAAAAGTTGCACGTATTTACAGAATAGTCACAATTTTATACGGTTTAGAAAATACTTTTGGATAAAAAGATTAAGGAAGGAGCATATCAAAAATCTTAGATCTACCGCGATGGGACTCAAATATGGCCGACTTAAATTCCGGTTTATCAGTGCCGTTCTAATTCTACATTCTATACTGACGCCTTTTCATAACATTTCTATTTTTATATTTCAGTTTCGCATTATTTTTTATTATGTTCTTTCCTATTAACACACAGCTTTTTTGCGTTTTTAGTTAATATTTATATTGAATTTTAGGCAGAGTCACTGACGATTGGGATAGACGATTAATCGTAACAATTTTGTACGACTTTCTTAATCCGAATTTAGTAGACCAACCAGATTATGTGTTTAGTACAGTAGGGACTTGTTACGGCTTGCCAGAAAAAACGGAATATTCGGAGTACGTATCTCACATTCGAGCATTGCCCCCAGAGCATCCTCCGGAGATATTTGGCCTTCACACAAATGCAGGAATTACAAGAGACTTACAAGATTCAAGACAACTTTTAAATTCTGTACTGAAAGCATACGGGGAATCATCTGGAGGTGGTGCAGGTAAACTACTTTTCTTTAATCCCCTAGGTGTATTTTTTAGATATATTTGAATTATACCATTTATTTCTTACATACATACATATGCCGCTTCTCGCTGACGAGTATTCGACACACATAAAGAAGATGGTCACGCAAGGCATTTTCTTTTATGAGCTTTTCTGTGACGGAAAAGCCTGATACGTCATGTTATCTGCCTACCGCACTCCGGACATTCAAAAATCTCATTGTTTTGTTGCCTCTTTACTTTTTGGTTGTCGCTGTTAACTGAGTTTACAACTCTTCTCCATTAAGTTCTATTATGAACTGCTTTTTCCAACTCAATCTGCATGTTAAGCCCCTTTAAGTTTTCCTGGAAAATGTCCTTGTACCTTTTCAGTTGTCCACCTGGCCTCCTCTTACCGTCTACAAGCTCACAGTAAAGCAGAGATTTTGATATGCGGTTTTCTTGTATTCTGCATATGTGACCAGCCCATGTTAAGCGGGATTTTGTAACCATGACTTCAATACTCTCGCAGTTAGCTTTTTCAAGGACCGATACGTTTGAGATATGATTGAACCACCGGATTCTTAAGAGTTGTCTAAGGTGTCTCTGTTGCAACTTGTTTAATGCGTTCATGTGTCGGCGGTACGGCACCCTCACTCCCATATAACAATGTGGAGATTATAATTGCTCGGTACACTGCAAGTTTTGATTTTGTATTCAAGTCATGATTGTAGAAAACCCTGGTCTTTTAATTTCCAGAATGCTTCTGAGGCGCTACTAATCATGTGCTGAATTTCAGAGTCAATATTGGCCTTTTCCGAAATCAAACTGCCAAGGTAATTGAATTCCGCCACATATTCCAATAGTTCTTCTCCGATTTTTATAGCATTGTTATGATTTTCCAGGGGAGTGCATATGATTTTGGTTTTGTCGATGTTTAGCTTAAGGCCTAAAGCCTCGTATGCCCAGGTATATGTGTTCAACATTTCTTGTAATTGTTGTACCGTGTTTGCAACTAGAGCGCAGTCGTCAACGTATTGAAGTTCTGTGATGAATTTTGTACGTGTTTTTGCCCTGAGTCTTTTTATGTTGAACAGACCGCCGTCGTATCTGTATCTAATGCCCAATCCTCTCTCCTGCAGTTTGCTGTCCACTATAATGGAGAGCGCTGCCATGAACATGTTGAATAGGAGAGGCGCTAAGACACATCCCTGCCTAACTCCTGTATTTGTTAGGAATGGGTCGCTCAGTGATCCATGATGTGACACTCTTGACTTGTTGTTGTTATGGAGGCTTTTACACACTGTAAGAAATTTGTTGGGTACTCCGAACTTTTTCATAATTGCCCAAAGCGCATCTCTGTTCACAAAGTCGAAGGCTTTTGTTAGATCGATGAATGCAACGTAAAGTTTAGATTGCTGCTCTCTTACTTTTTCCTGTAGTTGACGGATGGAAAATATGGAATCGACGGTGCCGCGGTTGGTACGAAAACCCGTTTGCGATTCTGGAAGGATTTTTTCTATATATGGGTGCAGGCGATTTGACATTACTTTTGCAAGAATTTTGCCGCCGATAGCCAATAGTGAAATTCCCCGGTAATTTCCGCAGTCTCATGCATTTCCTTTGTTCCTAAATATATTCACTATATTTGCGTTGCGAAAGTCCTGAGGTACCTCTCCTTTCTCCCATACGACATCGAAGAGAGCCTTAAGATGACCAATAAGTTCTTTACTTGCACACTTATAGATTTCCGCCGGAATCGCGTCACAGTCAGCCGATTTGTTGTTCTTAAGTTGTCTTAAGCGGTCCATACACTATGAAACAAATTGCGCAACAAAGCGATGCGTAACGCTGCGTTGCACAACTGATTCAGCGGTCTATACACTATCAAACAAGTTGCGCAACAAAGTGATGCGCAACGTTCCGTTGCACAACTGCATCACCCATGCACTTAGTAAAATTTTGATCAAACTTTTTATTAAAAGTTGTGCATTGTTTGAGAAACAATCATGTTCTCAATTGCCATTGCGTCAATTATTATCGTATATACCCTAGATGATGTTGATGATACCAAAAAACGAAAAAGAAAACAAAGAATTTGGATGAAAGAACTAAAATATTGCACAACGAAGCGCAACATACACATACACTACACAACGCGTTGCGCAAACAGTCCTGTTGCACAAAAGAATTCAAACATTCTTGAAACTTATCAAACAATTGCGCAACGCATCAAACACTACCATACATTGGCACCTCGTTGTGCAACAGCCTGCGTTGCGCAATTTGTTTGATAATGTATGGGCCGCTTTATGGAGGTCTCTATTTCCTGTTCTGTTATTGGGATGTCTAATATATCGAGGCTGTTATACTGAGGTATTGTGTTTAGTGCTTCCATATTGGGGTTATTTTCTTGGTTAAGGATATGGCTGTAATGTTCTTTCCAGCGATTTCTGATTTGTTCTTCCTCCTTTAGAAGTTCGCCATTTTGTGCCATGATTGGGCAGTACCTTCTTAGTTGGACCGTATACTTAGTTGGACCGTACAGACACGAAGAATTTACGATAATCGTGATGCGTGGCGTACTCTTGAATCTGATTCGCTTTTTGTGACCACCAGTTATCCTTTGCTTGGCGCAGTTCTCTTCGAAGCGTGTTGTTTGCTGCTTTAAAGTTGTCTACCAGTCTTGGATTATGCGGATTTGCAGTGACTGTTTGATGTGCTCTATGCTTTTGTTCCAACAAAGCAAAATATATGGTTGATTTTCAAATATGCGGTTGATTTTCGTTAAACCAGTCTGGTTGGTTCTTTTTGTTTGACTTTCCAGTACTGCTTCGCTGGTTTTATGAATCGCATCCCTTAATTGTGTCCAGCCTTGTTCAGCTTCCAAGATTGAGATTGAAGCTATCGGTGGAAGTGATTCTTTGATGGCTTCCCGGAGGGCGTCGGCGGTATTGTTCTCTAGACCCGTACGTTCAATCTGGTCATGTTGTTTTGCTTTTTACAGTGTGGATGTTTGGGTTTAAACTGGATTTTCATTTTTGAAATTAAAAGTCGGTGGTCAGTGCCGCATTCGGCATCATTTATTTCTTATTGAACTAATATATGTTTATAAGGTGGTTACGCTAACTATATAAAGAATCATAACTCCCTTGGGGCCACGGTTGGCAAATATTATGATATTTATATGAATATCAAAATATCATAATATCGGATATACATATATCGTATACATGTATATCATATCCGATATATATCAGAAATTAATATTTTGTTTCTGGGCTAAAATGCCAAAAAAATTAAAATACGAAATATCTTTATTTTGATAAAAAACATAAATCAAATTTTAGTTTCAAATCACAAAAAACGAGGCAAAAAACAACCTTTTTCCTAATATATATATAAAAAAAACTTCTTGTCATTTCCATCATCCCATTTCATCTTACCCATTTCCATTTTCATCTTGCCCATTTGCAAAGTATTTATTATTTTGGAAATGGGCAAGATTTTGAGTAAGAGCCATATCACAAGCGGAACAAATTCTATTGAATTTAGAAGATCGAAAGCCTGTTGTTTTTAAAACTGTGTTAAATTTTGTACTAAGAATCTGTGATGATATACCGGGTGCGTCTCAAAAGTGGCTCACTCCTATAACTTTTTTATTTTTTTTATTAAAAAAAACGAGATTTGGTATGATAGTATATGACATAAATTAGGATTGATTGACGTATTCAATTGTTTTCAGTCACTTTCTATTTCGCCGGAAATGACTATAACTTTTGATTTTTAAATGGCACCCTTTGTATTTTTTTTACTTTATTCGATAGAAAATAACACTCTGAATAGAATGACATATCATATGTCAACTTTTGACATTTTCGCATATGGTTTATTTGAAATTATAACTTTCGGTTCGTAACGAAAATTTGACTCGAAATACCAAGTGTGTGGTACCAAATTATTCGTAAAAAATGCTTTTTCCAAATATGCTAATGAGCCACCTCCGTTCCATTTGAAAAAATTGACATATGATTAAAAATACGATTTGAGCATTTTCTAACTGGCCAGGACAAGCCACTAAAAACATTAGACGATCAAATCTATTTTCCCAAGGCTCCTTGATTAAGAATTAGTATTTTTAACATACCCATGGCACTCTAGATTGAATTTAAAATACGATTTTTGATTAAGCGAGAATCTCATAAGTTGACGTATGATATGTCATTCTATTCAGAATGTCATTTTCTATCGAATAAAGTAAAAACATTCCGAGGGTGCCATTTAAAAATCAAAAGTTGTAGTCATTTCCGGTGAAACAGGAAGTGACCAAAAACAATTGAATACGTCAATCAATCCTAATTTATGTCATATACTAACACACCAAATCTCGTTTCTTTATCTGAAAAAATAAAAAAGTTATAGGGGTGAGCCTCTTTTGAGACGCACCCGGTATATCATGATATATATATATATATATATATATATCAATTAATAAATATCAGATATATATCGTGATATGTATCATGATACATATCACTTGATATATATGGGCCAACCCTGCTTGGGACATTATTAACGAGAATGAAGATGTCATAATTCACTTTACAATTTATAGGTAACAACAATGAAATAGAATAGAGATTTTGAATAATAATATAAAATTCAAATGGACTTCAATTACTTACTAAAGTGGTAGAGTTAGTATTAAAACTAAAAGAGTTTCGGACTTCCATTGTCTTTATTTATTTTGCTTACACAATGTTTCGGTTAGAAGTATCACTGACCGTTATCAAGTGTGAACTAAACTAAACTCAAAAACTAATTATTTAATCCTAACTAATCCTAACTACTATAATAATTTATTTACATATTTAATGTCACATGTAATAAATTTACGAGACAACAGTTTCATCGACATCCCTTTGCTACAATATTGTTCTGTCCCAGCCACTGAATGTATTTTACATATTCCTCTTGGTAAATGGATTCACTTTTAGATTGAAGTAACACTTGTGCTTCCTTGTAATTTTTTTTAATATTTCGAATTCGTGCGGAAGGCGTTCTTTTGCCAAAAAAAACTCGATTGACCAATCATCAATTTATAAACACGTTTTCCTAAATCATTTTCTGCTTCCTAAATCATAGTAACCAGGCAACAAACAAAGTTCCGTCTAGCAGTGTTAATACAATTATACCGGAAGATTATTAATTGCAAAATTACTGTCGTTTTAAAATGCGCAACCTAACCTAACTTACGCTATGCTGATGACACGACCATATTTGCTGCAACGGAGGAGGAAATGGCGGTTCTCTTGAACAAAATAGAGCGAGAGAGTGGAAAGTCTGGTCTAACAATAAACAAAACTAATGATAGTGGACATCGTAAATAGGACTCACCTGCTTGACGATCTCGAAAGGGTAACCAGCTTTACATAGCTGAGTTCAATAATAAGTAACATGGGTGGATGCGTAGAGGAAGTTAAAAGAAGGATAGCCTTGGCCAAGAGTGCGATGCTGAGACTCCAAAATATGGAAAAGCTCATACATAACCAAAACAATCTTCTCATACTCAGAATCGTGGACACTTTAGAGTTAAAGAACGCAAATATATATATTGATTCCTTTGAAACGTGGTGCTACAGGAGATTGCTTAGAATTCCCTGGACCGGACCGCGAGGAGAACTAATCAGTTGATACTGGATGAGTTAAGTGTAACCACCAGTCTATCATCATTATACCCCTGGCTTCTGCGTACAAAATGGGATACAATTAAATAAAAACGATTTCCCCTCATATTTTTACATAGTATAATTTTGAATATTATAAACTAACTAATATACTTATTTTAATTGCCCATTTTTTAGGTGACTCTGACAAATATATCATGATACTCTGTTCAGATATTCTCTCGAAACTGCCAAAAACGTTTAATATGGTATTGGCCAACCAGAAATTTCCAGTGGAATACTCGGAATCCATGAATACCGTTCTAGTTCAAGAAATGGAACGGTTTAACAAATTGCTCAATAGAATAAAAAGTTCTCTGACGACTATGCAAAAAGCGTTGAATGGTAAGTGAATAATAAATATATGGCCAGTAATTTGTATTTACTAATAATGACAGTCTAGTACATGGACTAATGTCATGTACTAGAGATACATTGGACAGTGATATAAAACAAATAGGTCCGTCATTTAGAGCCACCTGGTGCTCCGGAAGAAACTAATGGAAAGTTTTGGCATTATTTAATTTAAGACGTTCCGTTAGTTATTAACACTAACTAAAACGGTACCGCTATTTAAGCGCAAAAGTATTCCTTCTAAAATATAAAATTATAAACATAGGCTTTTTTACTATATTTTATGTTTTATTAGATCATTAGAAGTGTAATATAGTCAAAATAAAAATAAAATTATGAATACCTACATACATTTTAAACACATAGAGCATATAGCACATACTATTTTTAGCCGACCATACCCATGGTAGGCTATTAAGATCGGCAAAAAAAAGTTTTTTTAATTTCACTCAAAATGAGTTATTTGGGTCATAAATAACCTAAATACAAAATATTTTCATGGTGTCTGTCTGTCCGTCTGCCGTCTGTAACGCGATAACTCAAAAACCGATGAACCGATTTTAACCAAATTTGGCACAAAAATACTGTGGCACCCGAGAATCTGGCCATTAGTTTTTGGTGGGGGTAAGGGGGTATGGGAGGGGATTAAAAATTTAAAAAAATCGTAACTCCTAAATTACAGTACCGCGGTTTTCAAATTAAGATTAGGAATAATATTTGCAACAAAATTTGTAATAACATCAAAATCAGTCAAAGTCGTAGTTTTCGAGATATTAACATATTCTAGTATGGGCGGCTATACGTGCCTCCCGGCGCCAATTTTTTTGATTTAACAAATAAATTATAATATAGTAAAAATATGATAGACTACTAATTAACTGTTACTAAACATACCATATATTATGAAATATGTACTTACTTATTTATGTTACTTATAATTTGTTATTTTTAAAATGCCAAAATGTCTTTAATAAAAAAGTTTAATATCTAACACAAAAATGATGATCCACTGTAAATATCAATATGCACAAACTAATAAAAACACAAACTACAAATCTCCGAACTTTCCGACAAATCAGGAATATCTGAATTAATAATTATTTAAATAAATAAGGATTTAAAAATATCTTGACGGATCATCAACATTATGTCAACTAGACCATAGACGGTAGTCAATATAGAGGCTGTCGTGTCATCTTCATATATAAATTAGAAACCTGTATTTTATTGTCTTTTGCGGAAGAAACTAGATTTGCAGGTCTATAAAATTACAATTGAGTGTCTAGGACCTGATTGTTATTCATAGAATTTTAATTAACGTAATATTTTTTGCTTTATTAAAATTTTAAAGACGCTCAAAATTTATTATTGGGTAGTTTACGGAAAATAAGAGGGTTTAATAGCACCCACTGCACAAACTAATAATTATAGAATTTAATAAAAACTAACTTTGAAAGTGGTATAATGTGCTTATCAATCAAACTTACTTTTCTGACTGTAGTCAAGGGTAATAAAAAGGACCTTTATTGTCACGTTCTCGTTCAAAATAGTTTTAAAAAACAGATAGTAAGCTACAAGCTCTTTGCTTCGACTGTTTAAATGCTTCGGCATATTTTCAATACACAATTTCAAGAAATGCAATATAAAAACTCAAAAATTTAGTTCTTAAAAGAACTGTTTGTGCTTAAAAGTACAATTAAAAAAAAAATATGAAATAGGCAAAGAACGAGAAATACTCACAAAGATTCAACAACAACACGATATTATACAAAATAATGCCTGACACTAGGATAATTGTCAAATAATAAAGGACAACATTGCTGAACACGGCGCAGTGTGACCAACATAGCGATAATAAAATTCGGTTTAAACTAATTTTTGCAGCTTTAATCTAAATAAAATATCTGTTACAATCATTTGCTTTCTAAAGTAAAATGAAGAGCTGCTCGGTATCTTAAATTATACAACAAATTTACACATTTTTGCCAAAAATTTCATTTAGTCAGGTTTATAGACTTTAGTGCCAATGTCGATATGATTGATGACGTGCATCGGAAAATGTTTTGCTTTTTTAAAAATAACGTTTATTTATAATAAATTATATATCCTTTTATTTATATTTACATGTCTTTTTTAATATATTCGTATTTTTTTCAGGGTTAGTGGCAATGTCTCCAGAATTAGAAGCGTTTTCAATGACATTGCTTTTAGCAAGAATACCAGCTAGTTGGTCATCTGTTTCATACCCAAGTTTAAAAAATTTACCAAACTACGTGGCAGATTTCATTAACAGAATAAATTTTCTGGAACAGTGGTCTGAAAGTGGAAAACCCCCTACATACTGGGTTTCTGGATTTTTCTTCACACAAGCCTTTTTAACTGGAGTTAAACAAAATTTTGCCAGAAAGTACACGATACCAATTGACAAACTGACTTTTGATTTTGAGATAAAGACAATGGATTATCTTGATAAACCTCCAAAAGACGGTAATGCATTTCGTTGCGGTCTTTTTTTAGCTATATTACAATTCTCGCGGTGAATATTGTTCATCTCATATTATTATTATACAGAGTGCTTCAAAAAAATATGTGCTCTCTCTCGTGAGGATGTAAAAATAAGATTTATTTTTTTGTTTCGTATAGTTATGGGGGGTTGAAGTCTTAATTGCCGAAATATTTTTTTCGACTTATTACAATTTTCTTTCAAGTGCTTTTAGCGATTCGAATGAAATTTTGAGGGTAAAAGTTACTATAAGTGCGATATATTTGAGTGCTAAAAAGTATGGACATATTCATCAGGGACGTGCATATGGGATATCACTGGAACATGTACGCCACTGACATTTTTCTCTAGTTAGCAAAATTGTGTGGACTGTTTAATGCTAATTAAATTTGCCTCTTGATATTTTGTCGATTTCGATGAGATACTTTTAACCTCAATATTTCATTCGAATCGCTAAAAACCGTTGGAAGAAAATCATAATAAATCGAAATAAAAATGAAGACTTCCCCTGGAACTACGAAACAAAGCAGAATCAATCAGTGTTGTAATACAAAATAAATCTTACGTGAGGAATTTCCCCACGAGAGAGGCACATATGTTTTTTGAAACACCCTGTTTCATAAAATAAAAGGGGGTTACGTATAAAGATGTATTTTTATACATTTATTCCTTTTAAATTGTTGTAAAATAGGGAACGAATTTATGGTCGTATACATATTACATTTGAGAGAAAATTGTCACGCTGAATAGCAGTTCTTTTTATTATGCCATATCCTCCAAGGTGATTTAGCGCAGTGAGTATACTCGCACCATTTCTATCAGTCTATAAGAGTTCTTCGCCTTTTGTTAACCTTGCTTATATGATTTTGTTACGTTCTACTTCGTTCTGTCTCTCCATTGATGGAACCCACATTTCCTTACCCATTCGCCGGCGCCGGTCTCTCGCCAGATTTTTAGGAACACTAAAGTACCAGTTAAGGTCTCACGAATAAAGCACCTACACCTGCTTTAACGAGGGAATGGGAACCTTCGTGCGGCGTTACACGGTCCGTTTTTGCAGGTCCCGCACTGCGGGTCCCGTTTTGCGGTATGGCAATATCGCATGAGATGGCATGGCAGATGTAACACCATCTGTTTTACGGGATGTGCGGTGACATGCTGCCGCAATGCAGGGTTGCGGGATGCGGGAACCTTGGTGACGACACAATCAGTTGAATGTCAGCTGTACGTTTCTGCGGTATGCCGCTTGGATCGCGAAAAGCAAAATATATTTGATACGGACCAAGATTTTTCAGATATCTGATAGTACCCAAAAAATGTATCATTGTACTTTCGAATTTTAGAATAAAAGTTTTCAAATCTTCGTCTTCTTTCGCGTTCGGAATTAAAAGGATGAACCCAGGTTTTACGACATTTCGGCTCTCGTAATAAATTTTCAGCTTCAAGTAATAAAACAATGTTTAATTTTGAAAGGGACATAGTTCCTTCGCGTCTGCCACACTTCGTTTCTGCGGCATCCTGCAAAACGGGGTGCCGCAAAAACGTAAGCCGTAAAAAGGGTAACGCCGCACTTCGTTTCGTTCTAGATACTTCACTCTGGTTTCCATATCAACAAGCATTTTAGGATGCGAACTTTTTTACTTATTTTTTACCTGCAGAATATGCTGCCGAAGATTGATGTCAATATTCCGGTGTCAATATGACTCCTACTAGTAGAGGGCGCCACCTACATCATATTTTTAACTGGTTTGAAGAGTAATAATTTTTCTTTCGTATCTGTATAAAAGAGTAAAAAAATATACATTTACGATGTTTTTTTAAGTAAAAAGATCTCTTGGAAAAAATCGCTACGAGTAATGGTTTTCGAGATATTTGAAATCGAAATTATCAATACCTGTCGTCATTGACATAAATTAAACATGCTAACTAGATAGTTATTAGTTTGAAATCATAAATTTGAAATGTTTTTGTGTCAAAAGGTCAACAGAAACTGTTTTATCATAATTTATTCGAACAAAAATTTATGATTAATTTAAAAAATTAAAAAGTTTCCAAATTTATTATTTCAGTCAAATAACTATCTACTCACCTGTCTATTTTTCGTCAATAATGACATGTATTGACTATTTCCATTCTAAATATCTTGAAAACGGTTAAGCCGGAGTCTCATGCACTCGAAATCCGATGGTACGACATCCGAAATTTGAAGTTATCCTGTGAAATAAAAAAAGCCTGTCACATACATCCGATAGTTCGTTCCGAAATTTGACAGTTTTGACATTTAGACCTGTCATTTCCTATCAACAGTATCAACATTATTACATGTATTATTGGAGAAACACTTATAAAAATAACTTCCTCGCCAAATATTCCGAAATTGCGCCCTTCCCACTAAACTTGTTTTTAAAAACCAATGTTTTAAAAAAAAGTGAGGTTAAAAAATGTATCGTACAAAAGTTAAACAAAATTTAACTTTATACGACGTCGGAGGATTAGTTAAAAATATCGGATAAAAATTGGTGTCAAAATATTTCGACCAATAGGAGCACCGTCGGATCGTCGGGTCATCAGATTTCGGATGCATGAGACTCCGGCTTTACACTTAGCGATTTTTACCAAGAGACATTTTTACGTAAAACATTACGGATATGTACATTTTTTCACTCGCTTGTTTTATACAGGTACGGACGAAAAGATATTACTCTTCAAAACAGCTAAAACACAAACATGTAGGTGGCGCCCCCTACAAGCAGGAGTCATATTGACATCAAAATCAAATTTCTCTAAAATCCAAAAATTTCTATACAGCAATTTTCATCCAAATATTGACGTTACTTCAGAAATTAATTGGAAAAAATTGAATAAATAAAAATGAAACTTCGACATTATTCCTTATATATCTCCGAATATACCTACCCTATATCTCTGAAACTAAACCTTTTAGGACATACATTTATACGAACTTTTTTATTTATTTTCATCTGCAGAATATGCTGCCGAAGTTTCCTGAATACAATTCGGACCACCCTATATTGTAATTAATAATATTAGACAATGATTATATCTAAATATTCTTGTGTAACCTCAGAGGAATAGCCAATTTAATCTACCATCAGTAACTGTTTTCTAAATGCACTGTTTTTTATTTTTCATATCAGTTTAATATAGTGGTATTTGGTATTACATTACACTCCATTACAAACTAATGGATATTTATTCATACTCTATGTTTACTTATTTTTCTGAGGCCATCATAATGTTTGATTTTGATTCATTCGCGAAGTAGTACGAAGAATATAGATGCGTAGAAATGTTTTGTAGAAATACTTCCCGAAACATTTCGCGAAACGATTCCAAAATCAATAAAAAACAAACAACCAATCATGATTTGTCCCGGGGGATTTCGTTCTGTTTCGATGTTTGCGGCCGAGATTAGCCAAGATTCCCGTAACATAAGAAAAGCATTGAGTTTTTCGAAAGAATACTTCTGAAAGTATTTCGCCAAACATTTCGCGAATAGTGTAGAGGCCGTTAAATCAACAGAAAGACAACACTTACATATATGACATCACATCAGACAGTGTCCACAAACACATTTGATATGAATGTGAAGGTATACAATATTGTGCTCTATTTCATTGTGTTTAATTATTACAAGTAGATAATAATGTAAGTTAACGGTTGATTTGTTTCTAAAGGAGCTTATATAAATGGATTATTTTCGGACGGAGCGCGTTGGGATAGATACAAATCCATCATCGATGAATTACTACCAAAAGTCCTACATGATGTTATGCCTTTAATATGGATTATTCCAATAAGGGATGTCGATTATAACCCAGGTATTAAAACAACTTTATATTATGATATAGTTTTAAGTAGAGGAAAGTAACCAAATATGGAATACCATTTAGTTTTTTCTTATAAAATTTATTGTAAATCCAAAATTTTTATTTTTATTCATACAGTTGCATATAACTTAATGTGCAATGCATATAACTATTTTCTGTTACATATACTCTGTTACATAAAGTTTTTCAAAAACAAATTGAACATAAAGGCGCCTATATGGAATAGGTACCAAATACGGACGACCATAAAACAAACACTTCAAACTAATCAAAATGTATATCAGATTTTTTTATTGAACACATTCAGACAAGAAGAGAGCCCTAAACAATAAAAAATCACATGTAAATCAATGCATTGTCATAATATACAATATTATTTGAAATCGTGTATCAAGAAATACTTGAAATTAAAAGAATTAAATTAAAAGACTTCCATTGTCTTTGTTCATTTTGATCAGTGGCGGCTTAACCATGAGGTGAAATGGTCAATGCCCCACCAAAATATTCAGGAGAAAATTAGAAAAACTTATTTAAATTATACTTTTTGTAAATCACTTTTTTTCATCCTAAGAGATTCAAAACTATTCCCAATTTGTCCAATTTTCGCTTGAAAACATTTTATTTTACCCATTTTCTCTACTGCCGGTCAAAATTTCATTTTGTCCTTCGTTCCCGCTATGTTTTACACGTATTAAACTCCAAGTGCCGCGGCTTGTGACGCCAACAAGGTAGGTATACTACGTATAGAAAATATAATGGGTTAAGGTGCGATAGATATAGTTTATATTGGCCATTGGCCGCGTCATTCATAAAAGGATTTATAAGGTCGGCAACTTTATATACACTTGTATTTCGTAGTTTACTGACAGACGATATAAAAGTGGCGGTTTTGTCTTTGTCTAGAAACCAGCGTGTTATTATTGTAATTTGTAATATTATTTATTAGTTGAGAATCAATATAGTTGATTAAGAAAGTTTACAGTTTGGGTGTGTATAAAAACTCAAATTATAAAACAACCTAGGTTATTGTATCGTTTATCGCGTATCGTGTATAATGTTTGATTTAGTCAATATAAATCAATATATAAATTTTTAATATCAAAAATAATTTTAGTTTTAGTTGCCGTAGCTTTATCGTAGCTGAGGGTTTGAGATGCAGCGCGAAATTTGTGTAGGTAATAATTCATAATTTTCTTGTTCTGGATAAATGATGAACTCTTGTTGACTGATTCTGGAGTAGATATTTTCAAATAGACAACATATGGTGTTTAGTTTGTAAAATCGTGCGGTTAAAAAAAGCAATTGCTTAAATTTCGAAAAACGTTTAGGGAAAGAATTGACTTAAAATATAAAAAAATGTGAAATAAAACTTTTAAAATGTGTATGTGTATATATGTATTTATATTTTTGTGACATTATTATTTAAGTGTCTTTTAAATCCTACCGTGGAAATTTTGCGTAAAGAACATTGACTGGATTTTTGGTAAAATGGCACTTCCTCTAGTTTCATTTTAACATAATTTGTATTTATTTTTAGATTTACTTTCCTTTAACTAAACTCACGAGTACCTTGTAAGAAACCAATTAAATTTGGTCGCGTCTTAAAAAAAATCGACGCAATATTTTTAGATATTGACTTCCCTACAATAATAACCACGAGCCGCCACTGATTTTGATTAACACTCCAAACTTAAATTAAAACTCCAGCACAGCTTAAGTAAAAACCAGCTCGGACAGTGTAGCGTGCCGCTTTGATCTTTTTACGCTCGGATTTGCGATCCGAAAGAGGGGGAACACTGGAGCGGCGAGCTCTCTCGCCAAAACCAAGAGCCGCGTAAGCGCCAGTCAGCCCAGAGATGTATTCAAAAAAAATTTACACGTGACGTAAAAAATTATTCGACTGGTGCTAGAACATAATTTAGATACACGTTTTTTAAATTGTTGACTTAAATAAATATGCATTCTCAAAGAAAAACATTTAAAAAACAAATTAATTAATTTATTTCTAGAAATAACAGCAAAATGAAATAGGTACATTGATTACTTATAGTTATTTACGAATGTTTCTAAATTAGGAGCTTTCGGTTTTTGTTTGCTACATTTAAGTTCTTATTAATATTCTTTAAGGTATAATAAATTCTAACTTTTGCGTATAATTTTAACAAAAATACATTATAGGAAAATTTTGATTGATGGTTGAATTTAATTGTCTGAAATAATTTAACGAATGTACATAATATATTTTCATTTAAGGAAAGTTCTTCAAAATTGTTCTGAAAAATTTTATAAAAAAAACTTTTTTAAAAACAAGTTTTTATTTAAATACACTAAAAAGAATAAAATAAACTTTTTCTTTAAAACTTTTATTATGAACTTATAACGTCATTACACAATTTTAATATTATATAAAAGCTTGTCGCGAGATTTGAGTGTACAGTTGCACTCATAAAAATCTGGTACGACAACTTTATCTTGTAATTCCTGGTCTAGTGGTCTATCATAACACAAACTTTGAAAATGAGACAGGGTAGACACAGGTTTTAGTTAATTTTACTTGTTTATCGATGTAGAGAAATCTCGCGACAAGCTTTTTATATATCTAATATTAAAATTGTGTAATGACGTTCTAAGTTCATAATAAAAGTTTTAAAGAAAAAGAGTTTATTTATTCTTTTTAGTGTATTTAAATAAAAGCTTGTTTTTAAAAAAGGTTTTTTTATAAAATTTATTTTCTACTTTTTAGTTATGCTGGTTTCTCAGTGCCACACACTTAAACTCAATTTTTTTCTTAAATAACTTTCTATGGGTATCCTAATAATATGTATATCGATTTTCATTAAAAAAGGAGAACTTAAAAAAAACGACAGCTGTCAAATTTGACAGTTCAAATGTGAGACAAATAAAATGAAAACCGACTATGGGGTAGGGGGCATCCAATATATCGATTTTTATCAAAATCGGACAAATTTGAAATTATTTGACAGCTGTCACATTTGACAGCTCAAAATTTTTTTCTTTCATTTTAGCCCACGGCCATCATCGATTTTTATCAAAATCGGACAACTTTGAAATTTTTTTGACAACTGTCAAATTTGACAGCTCAACATTTTTTTTTCATTTTCGCCCATGGCCGTCCTATATATCAATTTTTATCAAAATCGGACAACTTTGAAATTTTTTTGACAGCTGTCAAATTTGACAGCTCAAATTTTTTTTCTTTCATTTTAGCCCATGGCCATCCTATATATCAATTTTTATGAAAATCGGTTGACTTTGAAATTTTGACATGTCATTAAACTGTCATTTTTTCAAGATGGCCGCCCATATATTTTTTTTCATATGTATATACCCACAATATACCTATACAGGTTGTTAAATTGTTCATTACTCGCGGCAAGAGTTTTATGGTTGAAATAACCTCGGCCCGCTCGTCGATAGACGACGCGACGGGACGAGTCGGCAGAAAAATCAATAATGCATACGTTCTCAATAGGCAGTGTTGCCATTCTGTTTCCCTATAAGTAACTGTCGAGTTAACAACCTGTATGTATATATATATATATATATATATATATATATATATATATATATATATTATATATATATATATATATATATATATATATATATATATATATATATATATATATATATATATATATATATATATATATATATATATATATATATATATATATATATATATATATATATATATATATATATATATACATGCAATCCGCCTTTATCAAGACCAAAACGTACCACGCGCCATCATTACGAAGCCCGATTTGGTTTTAGGAAGCCCGATCTCGGGCTTCGTAAAAACCGCGTGTATATATTTAATATAGGCATCAGGAAGGTCATCTCTATCGATAGCCGAAAATCGGTCGGGCTTCATAAAATCTTAAGATATATCAAAATATACACCTCTAGTACCCACGTATGTGACCATATCAAGTGTATAAGAAGCCCGCTGTATATGTTTGATATATGTATATTAAGAGTATAAGAAGCCCGCTATATCCGGCAACATCGTACCCTACTTAAACGAAAGATTTTAGATCTTTCTACTTAAGATTATCATTAGAAAATTAATGAAATAGTTTTTTTAGATGTTTATATTGAATTTAAAATAAATTTATTTTAGAAAATTATTTTAAGACTTAAGATTTTTAATTACATTAAGAAAATATAAATGGAAGCTTTAAAAATATACAGTGTTATAATATAATAAATATAAAAAACGTAAATATTCGTAAATCATATTTTATAATATTATTTTGTTTTAAATATACAGGGTGAGTTTCCTACGATGTTCTTTCTGGGTATCTCGGAAACTACTGGAGCTAGAGTCGGTTAAATGGGGAAAGAATTGCAGTTTTGTGGGGTCATAAATATGCGCTTTTCAGATTTTTGAAAAAGTTCATGGCTTGCTAGATATTTTGAAAAAAAAAACAAATTTTGGCAATTTTAAAAATTATCCCTAATTCCATTATAATCTATTTTAGACAAAAAGTTTTCAGATAAAAGTTGTAGATAATCACATCCTTAATGAGATTGTGTCCTCCGTTTTCTTCTAAAGCCTGTCATTTTTGACATATGATACAAACATATCTTTTTTTTTAAATGGAAACCATAGTTGGCCATGACTTCATAAAAAGCGCCATTTTTTAAGCTTTTTAGCGATATAAGCTGTAATATGTTTTTTTTCGAAAAATTACCGAGTTATAGCCAATTCTTATCATTTTTAAACAGTTTCACTTAGTTAGCCATGGAAACAAGTTCAATCGCCGTTGCTCTCAGAAATGTGAAGCTGTCACATCCAAATTTTGTAAATCAAAATGAAAAAAAATTGTAAATATGAATTTTTCAAATGAAGAAAAGCGTGTAGATACTCGCGCATCAATAGAGTGGTTCCAACATGACTTTCATTATGACCCCCCCCCCATAATGAAATAAATGTTAAAATTTATTTATATCATAATAAT